CGCACGGCACAGCAGCTGCTCGACTTTCTGCAACCTGACGGAGTGATTGCATGTTTGTTCTTGGAAGAGCAGCAGTGATGACAGTGATGATGGCACTAAGATGATGAGTGTGTGGAGGAGGAAAGCGGTTCGGAGATGGTAGATCTGGTAAATGTCTACAGATAAGAAATCCATCCATTTTCCTCTTTCTTTCCATTGTTTGTCATTTTCTCTCCTTATGTCTATCCACAATGACAGAGACAACCCTTACGCACAGTTTGCCTTAAAGGCCCTGAATGTCTGTCTGGGTGGTTATGAAATTGAGACAGTCTGAATAAGTCTTAATCTACAGAGGTAGACAAACAGTTATAAAGAGAGATGGCGGAGAGGTTGCGAGAGAATACAAGCGAGCAAGAGCGTGTGAGAATGAGAGATATACTGTAGGGAGACGGAGGGAGAACACAACGGAGACAGTGGGAGAATAGATGAGCATGGGAGTGTGTGAGAGAGATAAATAGAGACGGAACGAGCAGGAGGAGGGGGAGTGTAAACAGCAGAAGGTTCATTGGGTTCAATGTGCTGTAGAAGAGCTGAAAGATGGGCATCAGAACTTGAAGCCCGCGGGGTTGGATAGTGGTGCGTGACTCACATACTCACGCATACATTCACACATATGAACACGCATGGAATCGAGTACTCTGCAATTACATGAAAGCAAATTCTAATATATATATGAATAATATACATGTATGTAGATGTAGATATGTATGTATGTATAACATATAAAAATATATAAACATATATCGACCATACATATGCAGTGACACATTGACAAGTTGTAATCTTGTTGCTTCCTCATAGCCAAACAATTGATGTGACTGCCATGTCAATGAATAAACATTATGAGAAAAAATATTTAGTACTAGCTTTCATGGGAGTGCTTCATATTTGTAGAAAGTAAATGGAGATTACAGTTAGCTATTACATCCACAGGTCACCCAAAACATTTTTCTGTGCAATTTTCTCAGCTAGATGATTTCTTCAGTGGACATTAGTCCACTGAAAAAAACACCAAGTTTGTTACTAGTGCGCCGAGTCAAACCGATACTGCCGCTCACTTGGTCCATGCTGCTAGTTTTCTCATCTTGAGTCAGAGAATCTCATTTAGACTCTGCATACCTTTTACGAGACTGACATCACAAACCAACATGTTAACCCCAAACTGATCTTTCCAAGTATACGCTTACAGCTCCTTCGCAGAGAGCAACGCGTGGAAAATATACTGCCAAGCTGTTAATAATTTAAATTTGAGACTTCTGATAGTAATCGTAAATGCACAGATGGGCATTGCTGTGCAAAGACATGGCAGAAACAAAGTCTAAGCAAAGTAATGAGCTCACTTCTATCATAAATGTCCGATGACGGAGCGGGTGGATGTGAACTGTGAGCATCAGACAGGGTTATGGTTGTTTGTTTCATATTGCTGTTTTCAAAGAAGAGGTTGTTCATTTAAATTTATTGCACAGAATTCTTTTTCACACAAAAGGCTGTGCAGCCCACAGCTGAAGCTAGCGAACCTTGACAACTTTTTAGTCTCTCAACAGCTAATTAACACCTTGACGAAGCTGTGTGCTCTGAGAACAAAGGCACTGCTTCTGTCGCCTCTCCGTCCTGCCACATTTAGCATGTACATACTGTCTAACAGGGAAGCTCTGAGGCACAAGCAAGCAGGTGTGCACGTGGCACTTCGATGTCTGTTGCTATGGTGACCCCCAGAATATCCCTACACAGCACAATGTGATATTTTTATTAAAGTTTGAGGGCTTTGACTCTACTGTCTGGTGTGGCTGTGAAGATGTGAACTTTTTCTCAGATGTTTCCTTGGGGCTCAGCTCAAACCTGAGAAAATCTTGCAGCAGCACATGTCGCCATGCTTACAGCCTCATTGCATCAGCTAAATGTAACACATCCGAACAGGGGAGTAACAGCCACTGACCAGGAATGTTGGGTGTGTAAAATACATGTGTCTGTTACTCTGTCTGTGTGCTTGCGCAAATGTGTATATTTACCACAGTATGACTCATAAACCGCATCAAAGAATATGCTGCAGAAAACTGAGACAACACAGTTTCAAAGAGGAAGCCAGTGCTGATAAAGCTGAAAGAGCTACATGCCCAAAAAACACACACACACACACGCACCCACACACACACACACACACACATATATACACTAACACAAACACACATATGCACACACTTATATGTATGAGCGTATACTCATGTACACACACAAAACCCTGTTAACAGTCACTGGAAATCCCCTTCTGTTCACCTGAATGAATTAAACTTTGGAGTATCTTAAAGCCTCAAATTCAAAAATTTGAATTGTGATCATTATTTTCTTCCTGTCTTTTCTTATCTATTGCTTGTTGGAAAGAACATCAAGTCTTACAGATTCAGGTCTACTTCCTGTTGCATTTTACATAAGAAGGTGGAAAAATCCCTTTCAGAGTTCATCAAAGTTGTTTGAATGGGGATCAATGCACTGACAGCAGCACAAAGCTTTCCCTCCAACGTGTGTGAAGCTGTAATATGGAATTCTCACCAGTAGATGTCAACATTGACTCATTAATGAGTTACACCAGGCCTTCTAAACGTATATAAATATGCATGTCTATGGTTTCCTCTGTTAAGCAATCAATTAGGAATTAAATTAGAGGAAAATTCTTCTTTGTTAGATGAAATCCAAAACCATAGACAACATGAAGCAAAACGGGGCATGAATTGTATTTTGTCCTTCTCTATTTCCCTTTATGATCTGGAATGGGTTTTCCATGACATTAATGCCTGGACTGGAGCAGCCTCTTCCGGCTGAAGCGTGCTGTAATTGCCTGTTAGAGGCCTGTTATTAAGGGGGTAGGAGTCAAGACCTGCAAGAATTCATGATGCTAAGTGCCAATTAACCCCCCTTCCTAGATCTGTCAGTGTTAACAGGGTTGAAATTTGAATTTTGGCATGGGGTAAACAAGAGCCTGTTATTTTAGTGAAACAGGGAATAGTTTCCCCAAGTTTGTAATCACCGATCACCAGTGTAAGTCCTACAAACAACATGTTAATACAAAAGCATTTATTTCAGCTGAATGAGTAAAAAAAAGGGTCCTTTCAGGACTTTAAATACGAAGTACCCTCCCAGCTTCACATTGATTTGATCTGCAGTGAACCATGCATCAACCCTGAAGTAACAGCTCTTTGTGCCAGTGTCTGTGTATAAGTGGTAGAAGACCTCTAAAAAGCTGCTTAAAGTGTCAGACATGATTTTTACACCATCACTTGGTAAAGTAGAACGCATTTAAGTTCTGCCTGACTGCTTTTTGATCTTCCCACTTGCCTCCAGCTGGTACATGTCAGCTGTTTCTCCTGGCACATGGGCATTATGAAGGAAACAGGTCCACTCACAGTCAACAAAACCACAAACAGTTGAATATACAACAGATTCTTGGCAACATAGATTTCCCAAAAATGACAGATTGATGAAAAGAAAAGTAAAAAAGGTATTCAGATGTCTGACTTACTCTGTGTTACATCAGATTGTGGGTGGGGAAAACAAGGCAAGGGGACCCTCAGCTGCTATTGATACAGTAATTAATGACATTACCCTCTAATAAACAGGAAAGTTTAAATGTTGTAAGGACTTTGATAAAGGGCAACAAGTCTTTCACCTTTTAATTGGTCATAATGTTACCAGTTGTAAATGTTAACAAGTTCTGAGGATTTCTAACTACTCTTTGCACAACGTTACTGGTCAAACTGACAAATAAATGCATCTTTGGAATACTTTAAAGAAAGAGCAATCACGGGGAGACTCAAAATAAGACTAACTGACTTTCCACAGTCTCTTTCCCTCCCTTCTTCATTTTATAATAGCAAAATACTTGAATGTCTGAATGTTTGTACAAAAATATACAATATGCATTTAGTATGTTTTTGTACGTACTCAGAAATGGACTTTACTTTTAAATGAATGAATCAGTGAATCTGTGAATAACTAAGTATTCAACATTTAACAGGACTTAAATTCTACTTAGTACTATCCTGGCTGGTTAGTTGCAACCCTTTTAGATTGGCAAAATCTGGCTGCAAACAAAAAGACCATTAGAGGTGTATCAAATGCTAATTCTATGCTGTTTTGTTTGTACATTGACTTTCCCTGGAAGCATTTTTAATAACAATCAAAAGTTAAATAAATACCTGCAAGCCGGCATCAGTCAAAGAGCTGGGATTGCACCCTACATTTACAATACTGGGCCCCTCCAGAGTGTCATTCAATATAACACACAAAAGAAGCAGAAGTGATTAACTTCTGATGAGATAAAAAAAAATGATGGAGAGTCCCACAGGAATGTGGAAAATTAAGAAAGAGAATAGATGGAGAATGCTGCATCAAAAAAATCAAAGTGAGCAGATGTAAAATGACTAAATGAGTGGCATTGTGCTGGTGGCTGCAAATAAAGAGCACAAATAAATAAAAACTTGGCTTTTTCATCCATACTTTCTCCATGGATATATAAATGATATTAAGACAACACTGTAGTGCTCACCTGTACTGCTTTACGGTAAGAATGTAAACCAAACTCTTTAGTTTTTTTTACCTAAAAACTTGCCAGCATAGGACAAAATAATATAACCAACAGATGAAATGACATGAAGTAACACAGGATTGCATTACAAATTACAACATACAATCATTTGGTGAGGTGATTGAATCATATGACCGGTCATGTAAACTGATGAGTGCATCCCGTCACGGTTTATTTTCATTGTTCGCTTTCAGCCATCAAGGAAGATAACATACACACAGATATTGCCAAACAAAGGATGGACCAACTGACATGGTATACTCCTCAGTATTATGTAAAAAGATCCTCGTGATCCTGCTGACCCCCTTAAGTCACCAGTTGGTACAGGCCGCAGTGCAATAGCGTACTCATCCCCTTAACACAGACACACACACAGACACACACACACAGACACACACACACACAATACTTTCTAATCCATACATCTCCTTACAACTCTACTTAGCCGGTCTGACAGAGTGAGCAGAGTGCGCGTGGGTCTGCATGTGCGTGAGACAAGAGTGTGAAGCAGTGAGAGGGAAAACCTGCGGGAAAAAAAAAAAAGAATTCAGGGAGGGGGAGGGAGTCAGCGATCAGAGTAAACAGGCAGAGCTGAGCAGAAGAAAGAGGGAAGGGAAGAGAGATAAAGGGGGAATGTGAGGGTACCATCTTTGGTTGTCTTGGGACCAAAGTCAAGAGATGCAATGACTAGATGACCATCCATTACCCACAAAAGCATCCTGTCCAGGACCCTTGACAGGAGGGGAAATATCCACACAGTCAAAGGTAAATACAGTGTGCAGCCGGTCCCTCATCTCTGGATCATGTCGTCTGCTGGGTCAACAAACCACAACAAGCGCCTGGCATGTAAGTAACCAACAGTGTGTAAGTTATCAGACATGCAGCTGAAGTGGCACAGATCTGACCTGCCCGCATGAGTTTAGGTCCTGTATGGGGAATTTATGTGCTTAGTTGTTGTACTTTATCAGTGTTCTGTAGTGCAAGCACTGCACTGGTTGTAGTTTATTTATGTTGCAGACATCATATATAAAAAGTGCAGAATGATTGTACCATATTCTCCCAGCTATGCTGCTTAAACCTGAGCCTAAAAAGATTGATAATGTTATTTTTCCAAAGAAAAACTAAATGACTTTTGCAAAGGTTATCTTTTTTCATAACAGCCCTCATCTTGAACTCATGCAAAAGTCAGATTCTCAAAACTAGTATAACAGCCTCAGGTCATCTCTCTTGAGTTAAATTAGCCTGACATCCTTGACTGTGGTGTAACACTGCTGATGCAAATGGGGTTTAATCACTGTGAAGGGATAACAATTACTTCTTAGAGTTGGACATACTGCAGGGAAAGGGGCTTATTAAGAACTGTAAAAGTACTTTGATCCACTTCCTACAGAGTAGACGTTAGCTTCCTAAATGAACAAAATTCCTTTCAGAAGTTTTTTTCATGTTTAATTGTTTGGAGAACAATGTGCATGTTTTCAACTGCTACTTGCTGCCTAATAAAATGTTTCTGTGTGGGGCTGCAGAGAAGCCTTAATGTATACAGACTGCAGTCAGGGCACATACTAAAAGCCCTGTTTTGATTTACCTAAAAAGGGAGCAGTGGGCATGGCTGGAGGTCATTTTAGCATTTAGCCCTGAGTGAAGTGCTTTAATGGCTTTGGGAATGGGAGCAGCCTGGGAATACAAAATCTGATCAGTCCCCTACAGGGCGGATGGTCTCCAATGGAAATAGAAGATCCTCACAATGAGCAAATAGACTTCCACAAGGAGAATTATTATTATTACAGCTTATATGTAAAATAGTACTTTCTTTAGTGTTTGAGTCTTGCTTTCTGCAATATGACGTAAAACAGTGTGATGGTGCAGGTTGCTGTAGAAAAGAGGCGGGACAGCAAAAATGTCCAGCCTTGATTTACTTTCTGCTACATGGCTGGGGGTTTATGGATATGTGTGTGTGGGCACAGGGGAAGTGGGGAGACACGGCAGGGGAGGTGACCATTGTGGTGCAGTGATCTCACTCATAAATGATTTATTTTTGATGGACTGCTCTGGATACGAGGTAAGCAAAAGAGGAGTGCTTGGTCTGATAAATGAGAGGAGTGATTTCTCAAAATTATGAGGCAGCATAGTGCTGAGAATTGGTTGACACCATCACAGGATCCCAGGGGGAATACAGGGATCTGGGAGAGGAGGGGAGGAGATATATGGACTGTCAGATGAGACTGGCCATGCAGCATAACTGCCTTACAACCGCTCTCATGCACACATAAACATCCCACCCCTCTATGTTCACTAAAACTGGAAAGATGATCATGGGATTTATTTCCACTTGCCACAAGGGAAACGAATGCCACACCATGAGACTCACAAGTTCAATAGGAACATTTGTTTCCTGCTTCCAGTGCTGTTGCCGGGCCTGACTTATTACTACACTTCTAAATGGTGCACAGTTGACTATTTTCCTCCTAGAAAAGACGCAAACAAGGTATCCAAAAAGAGGAAAAGGGATGGATGTTGATGGGTACTTTTCAACTTAAATGGGAATTAAAATAGTAGCACTTTTGATTACTTGGAGAAGAGAAGTAGATCAAAGGATCAAACCCTGGAAGAATAGATCACATCAAAGAAAGAAAACATGTGATTCAGCTTAACTGTCACTTCTAACCTGAAACTCCCAATCCTCTTTAGAGTCACATTCCATGCAAAAAGAACTGATGATCTAACCAAGGCAAGATGGTTAATACATGGCAGTCAACAAGAAGGATGAAGACGCAAGTAAAATAAATACACAAAAAAAGCCATGACATCTCTGCAACCCTTGCATTTGACAGCGAGAGGCTTAGCTGAGGGAAGCAGATACAGGAAGGCCATTTCCCTCAAAGCACTGACACTACGGATACTTTATACCATTAACAATAAGAAGCAGAGTCAGGTTGCATAACCACATTCTGCTTTCTTTGAGAAATGTTTTGCCACTCTTCCTTCCTTTGAATCCCCTTCTTTCCAACAGTTTCAAACAGCGTGCCTTTTCATTCATTACAAACAAGCTGTAACATGTGCAGCCGAGGGACGTGACCTTTAGTCAGAGTCTGAGTCAGACTTACGGTTTAATGTGGTCTGAGATTGAGCAAAAGTTTATGAGTAAGAACATATTTCCTGATCAAAACTGAAAAGACTGAAACCTCCAGCCATTCAATGACTGAAAGCATCTGTCTCTGATGTGTATATAAACAGTGAATATACTTCCAATTAGCGGTTATATGGGAGTCCTCATAACTTAGAGTCAATATGTTTGCTAAACCACTGAACAACGAGCACTTTTAAAGTATGTCAGTATGGTTTTTCATGTTTTGTCCTGGTTTAAATTCCTCTCCATGAGGCCAATGCTTCCATAACACAAATAAGTCATGCCACGGCTGATGATTTCCATTCACTGATAAACCTACAGCAAATCTTTTCCATGTGACCTGTGTCCTGTGGGCTGAATAAAGGGTAAAGCAGCAGCTGAAATGAATTGAATGTGGTTACTGATTCAACATGAAGGATTATTTCATCACACTTTGCGATCACTGACTTGTTGCAAAATTGTCTTGAACCGCAATGGGTGCTGGAATGGAAGTGGATGGGGGAAAAAAAAACAAACACCAAATTGATAGTGGTTTATAATCGTTGCCAAATGTTAGGGATTCCCATGTGAAAGCTAAAAATAGCTTTTACATTTCACTGAGCCTGATAGTACTCTGACTGCGGGCCATTAGCATGGAGATCTCCTACAACTCAACTCTTCTGCAACAGGAAAGCAAAAAAAAAAAAAAAAAAATCTGACGTTCTCTAGATGAGTCAGTCCTCTACATACATCTCTTTCGCCCACACAGGGGCAGTCAGATGAGGACAAGCAGCTGAGCTTGTGTGTGGGAGGGTCATGTCCAGTGATCATCCCACAATGTCATTTTTAGACAAATAGACAATGACAAAGGTGGTAAGAAAGAACCATACAGAGACAAACTTTCATCATGCCAATAGGCAAAACTGAGGTTTATATAAGCTGTGCAGTTTAATCATCATCAAGCCTCTTTAACAGCCTTTAGTCATTAATCTGAAGCTTCCCATTGCACAGCAATGACAACTCCCAAATGAACCCTGGACATCCACAGGTTGCCATGTGACAGACAGAGGACATTTTTTCATGACAGAAAATGTAATTTAACTTATCACTTATCTTTGAAAAGCCAGAAACCATGCCAAGAGTTGGTTATGTTGTTCTCCGAGTGGTGATGATGAACAGCTGAACAAAAGGACAGCTAGGTTGCCTTTTAATTCCAGGCGTTCAGAAAACAACAATGCCCTGTTGGTCCATGGGTTTACACTGGCTTAGTGTATTGAAAGGGTAAGAGAAGTCTTAATATTTGGAAATGGTTTTGTGTTTGTTAAAGCAAAGACTTTTTTGCTTGTGTTGATTTTTGGAATTATTCCCTAATCCCAAGATTTTGAGTAAAGGCAACTGGACTTTGTAGATCTTGAGGGTGTTTCACCTCTCGTTTGAAAGGCTTCTCCAGTTCTAAACTACAAGGTGCGGAGTATCATCTTATAAGTAGAGAGGGTTGTCACAAATCTGGTCAAAGTGAGAGCCATTCAAATCATTAACTATCATTAACATTAACATCATTATCTAGAATGTCTCACTCTCTTAAAGGCTGAGTTTTGGTCACAGGGGTCATGTTGTAAATGGCTATAAAATTGCCCGGGATGGAGGGAGAATGATGTTTTGTAAGCACTATATATGTGATACCAAGGGCCACATTCTCACTTTAAATGACAGAGCATAGGAGGGACAAGATTTTGAACAAGAACCTTGTGTTTCTTTAAAAATCCCCAGCTAAAATATCAGAGATTGTGGACAATAAATGCTGATTTACTTCTTCCAGAGTCAGCTTGAATGTCAGAATAAAGAGTTGTTGTTAGCTGGTGACAGTGGACATACTTCTCCCTAGGGGAGTGGAAGGGTGACTGACAGACTGACAAGCTGTTTCTCTAGAGATGGAGTCATCTGAAGAGGGAGGCTGGGTGGCACAAATATGCCAACTGCATATTTTCCGACCAAAGAACAATGTTGCAGAAAACTAACAATATGAATTGTAGGAAAGTAAATGGTGGATTAATCCGATGGCGTCCTGTTAAAAGGGTAGCCATGGTTTGTTGTTCTAGACAATAAAAGCAGAAAACTGAAATGCATGATGAAATAAACATAGATTTATTTTGGACATACATACACATAGAGATACCACCTAAAACCACAGGTGAAATGAGTCAAAGTGTCACGGCAATGAGCCTAAGGGAGAAAATAACTATGTGCTGAAGTGGATGTGGTGTGATTACACAACCAAAGCCTGTCAGCTTGGCAAAATGTCAAATGTACAAGGCATACCCACTGTTGGCAGAGATGCTCTTTTTATATGTTTAATTTACTGTTTCAATGCACACACTGAAATGACATGGAATTATGTTTGGAATACATAACAACAGTAATCTAAAACCTACAATGAAATTATCATTTTACTGTACAGTGATTCTTTGGCAATTTAGCATTAGTCTTAATATGAACACTAGAGGTCAGACTAAACCCAATATCACATCTACGTATTTGCCTGAATAAATGCCACAGGAAGATATTTGATTAGATTGTTTGTACGGAATGGAAAATAGAAGAGGAAATGCAATCTCAAATGAACCACAGCAAATGACACATCTCACTGTGTTGCTGTAAATCAAAATGAAGCAAAATGTAGGTGCAGTGTGTGTAAAAATATGTCCAATCTTACTCCCAACAGAAGAATAAAAAATAATACTTAATCAGTTGCAGTTGACTCAATAATAAATAGAAAAAAGGGGCACTATGATAAAGGATGAAGTCTTGGTCGTTCTATACAAAGATGTTTTAACAGCAACTGTTGCTGCCCATCTCTTTGTGATGATAAAAGACTATTCCCAAACAAGTTCAAGTCCATCATACAGCAGTGATTATTCACAAATGGAAAACATTCATAACATTCATGGCAGTCTTGCCAGCACAGAACATGCCAGCATGACCTAGGTTAGAAAAGCAGAAACTAACAACCCCTTGTTCAAAAAATAAAGAATGGGAACAGAAACAAGATGCATGGATTAATTTATGCTAAAAGTTGTTACATAAGAGATGTGTCCTCCCATCACCTTGTCAAATTCGTGCCATGCCCCAGGTTTACAGAAACTGCAGTCATTCTGGCCACTTGTTATCTGCTGGCTGCTACAGGCCATCCCCGGGACAGTAAGGCCCAAAAGGCCTCTTTCTTCAGTTTGACACCTTCTCGCTCTTTTCCTCCCACTACTTAAAGGTCTGGTAATTAACTCTATCGAGTTGATGCTGCTCTAGAAAATCTAATCACTTTGGGCTCTTACCTCACTTGTGAAGTTATGTTCCATATCCCAAGAGGCAATCTGCAGAGCTGGGAGTTGGAATATGCTGGTCCCTGCCTTCTCCTGTAAGGGAAGAATTTGTTTTTCAAGAAAAACATTATGTCAATGTTTTGTTGGTTTACTTTTTGTCTCAATACTTAGCTGAGACAGACAACTCTCAGAGGCTGCTCGACAATGATGCTGCTCAACACCTGAAGCTAAAGGAGAGGCACCGCTTTTTTGAGGAGGTCTACCAGCACGATGTGGACAACTACCTGCCCTCGGCACACTTGCAGATTGACTGCAGAAAACGTGAGTGGCTCTGTTCTTCAACTGCACTGAAACCCATCCATCCATCCATCCATTATCGTTACCGCTTATTCCCTAATGGGGTCGCAGGGGGACCTGTAGCCTGTCCCAGTGGTCAATGGGCGAGGGGCAGGGTACACCCTGGACAGTCCACCAGCCCATCACAGGGCCATGCACTGAAACCATTTCTTATAAAAATTAGTATTCAAAGTGTTCATCATATTTTTTCTCAATTTTTTTCTCCTAAAATCAGAATTTATCAAAGCTTGCAATCCTTTTTCATTTTTGGCACTGTGAACTTTGTTTCTTTTTTGTGTTGCTGTGTGCTACAGCCCCAATGGGTAGTATCTCTTCTATGGAGGTGAATGTGGATGCCCTGGAGAGCATGGATCTGATGGACATATCAGATCAGGAAGCCCTTGACGTGTTCCTTAACTCAGGAGCAGATGAGGGAGCACTCACATCTCCACTACCAGGTGCACTTCTGATGACTTAAATCTTGAAATAATTACTGGGAGTATGAAAGAAATGTGAAAAGCCTAAAACTGTAAATGTAGATGTTTGTTTCTCTCTCAGTTATTGTTTGTTCAGTTAAGCGGATTAAAACTTGTTCAAAACGTACAAACTGAAAATAAAAAGTATGTATATATATATATATATATATAGTACATATATATAGTATATAGTATATATAGTATATAAAAGTTTCCAAACAAAGAGAATAAGGTAATTTCTCCACTATAAATCAACCCTTAGCAACAGCTGGGAGAACAATAATATAAATGTCAAACAACATCATATCACAGGGTCCACATCAGCTGATACTTCATCAACAGTGTGGTAACAAATTCTGTTTTGTAAAAGGAAAATTTCTCATGGCACAACACAGAAAAAAAAAATTTGATTGGACGCCAACTGCAATGTGGTAACAGTAATTCCTCTCTCACGACTAAGCATTGGGGAAAAGCCTTAAGGTATCTACTCATAGGAAAAACATTTAAAGAAAAATGGTGCAGAAAAGTTGCCTTTAAAATTACGTGATCAAACATAAATACATTTTTACGTAATTGACAAAGGCATGTTGGATCAAGAAATAGCATCAAAAGAAAATTCAAGTATTGCTACAACTTATGAGAAGATGCAACGGCTAATAAAAACCGAGCTACAAAAGAGGCATTCCACTTTTAAAAAAACAACAGTTGGAACGAAATGTGTATTGGAGACCCTTTCACAAATGAACTGATTGAATCCTCTTTTATAGGAGAGTGAAAAGCTCTTGGAATGTATAATATACAGTAATGAGTCATCACAAGTACAAGCAGGTTCTCATTTGTCGTTCTTGTCGTTGTATATATTGAAATGTTAACAGCAACAATCATATCTTCTTTAATTAGCTTATTAGATTCAATAAATTAAAATGATAAAAAAATCCATGAGAATAGCTTATTTATTAGAATTTATATTAATCCTATATTTCTATTCTATTCTATTCTATTCTATTTTCTATTCTATTCTATTTATCCTCTCCCATATTGAATTGATAAAAAATCCATGAGAATAGCTTTTTTATTTTAATTTATATTAATCCTATGTTTGTATTTATCCTATCCCATCCTATAATATGGTAAAAATATATTTCCTTAAAGAAAAGGCATGATCTGTGGGGATTGAAACAGGTGTTTACATCTTTCAACAGTAATAATTACAGAGGGTGAAGACGATGAAGACGAGGAGGAGGATGAAAATGCAGAAGTTGTCTACAGGGAGCGTGCCCCTCTACAACGGCAAAATGAAGTGTACCATGGCTCACAATCCCGCATATCTTCCACATCATCTGGGTCCAGTGACACCAGCGTGGGCGGCGCTGACACTCCTGTGGTCCAGTCAGACGATGAAGAAGTCCATGCCGACACATTGCTACTGACCTCTGTTCCGCAAAGACGAGATGAGGAGACAGAGGAAGAGGATGAAGAGAAGATATGTCTTCTACTTCATCAACAGAAAGACTGAATTTTATTCCTTCGGCTCTGTTATTTTTCTGTTGTTTTGTCATGAAAGCCCCGCATGGCTGACCTAGCTGTCTTTTGCCGTGTCCACGAATGTCACTGTGGATATTTCTGTCAGGCTCATAGCCTGTCTTTACTTCAAAGACACCTTAACAATGCATTGCCAATCTTTTTTTAATTATTTTTTTAAATTTGCATGTTGGCTTGGCTACTGTTCATTCCATTCGGTTGTACAGGCATGTACACGCATGCTTTTGCTGTACAACAAGTCAAGCTTGAATTTGTGCTCTCCAGTAACTGGAGGGCAACCTTTCTCACGTTCGGTTAACCAAAGGTCTCTTTTATTAAACCGACAAAAACAGTAGGCACGACAAACAATGCACGTGTCACAGTTAATGATTAAATCAAAAGTTTTATAGACTGACTCAAAAAAATGCTTAAAGTGCAGCGAGCTAACTAGTAGGCTGCAGACTGCATCTTTCCATTGTTAGTATGTCTTTGAAGTAAAGCATTATAACTTGAAGTGAATAGCTCATGGCTGCTCTAAAATAACCAAAATGAAATGTACAGCCCTTTGTGATTTAATAACAATTGTGTCATATTCCGTGTGTCTGCTGTGTGCACGTAAAAACATTTGTGAGGAAAATTGAACTGTATTTGTCAACGCATGCCATTATGTTTGAGTAAATTCATCCATCCATTCATTATCATTACCGCTTATTCCCTAATGGGGTGGCGGGGGAACTGGAGCCTATCCCAGTGGTCAATGGGCCAGAGGCGGGGTACACCCCCGACAGTTCGCCAGTCCATCGCAGGGCCACGAGACGTACAAAGACAAACAACCATGGGCACTCACATTCTCTCCTAAATCTGCTAAATACAACGACCGTGAAATAAATGCTTAAGATATTCCCAGACTGCAAAGACAGTAGTGACTGTGGCAAGCAAATAAGTATCCCTTCTAGCTATCTGCTCAGAACAGAAGGACTTACCATAAATTAGATTTTCACTCGCCTTTTTTCAGGTTTCATCATAAAGAGTGGTTTGTACATGTATAAATGTTGTATAGCACTGTGATGTTTTGAAGTACTCTTATCAGAAAACAAATACAGATATAGGTTACCTATATCTGCATTTCAACATTTACCCTTGTTTAGCTGTCACACATTCCTTATGGCCGACAGCTGTTATTGAAGTATGTTATTATTATACTTCACAGGAAGACAATCTTTACGACATGAGCATAGATTTATAATTGTGCTCTGTCATGCATTTAACCCTGTTTTTGTCCCTGTTAACAGGTATGCAAGTCATTAAATTCAAAGCACAAGAACATATTACGCATGATTCTTCTGCACTCCTGTAAGATTCTCAGAAACGGGAATACCACAAATTCTGTTGGCTTTCATGTCACATCAAAATGAGACTGAAGTGAAACTGCTCCAATTACCTTCCTTCCTTGGAAACAGCCGCAATCCTTATCATGTTTTTATATTTCCTCTTTTTTTGCTGCACATTGCATCGAACCATTTTAACTATTTAAAGTCTGATCGAAGAAAGAATCACAGAGATTTCTTTTTTTAATCCGAAGACTTTAATTGGCCATTAAAAATATTCAAAATTATTGCAAATGTAAATGTATTACCTAGTGATCCAAAAGGTCTCAGATTAAAAGGATTTTGGTTACCGTGGGTTCAAGGTTAAAAACCTTTGTTACATATTCAATAGGAGACCTTTTCTCAGCAGATAACACGTGTTCTGGAAATTCCACTTTAACAAATGTATTTGTCGTTTAATCAGCCTATATTTGACTTTAGGCCTGACGTAAAGACAAACATGACTTTTACTAGTCCAGTTAAGAGAATGCCTCAGACTTGGCAAGAGACAAGCTTTATATTTTCATGATGTGTGACCTATGCAAATTGTTTTTCCAAAGTGTAATTCAACATAGAAATAAACACATTCTATTTCAAATGAAGGTTTTTTTACTTATGTTGGCCAGAAATGCTACCTTATCAAAATCAATAGATAATACCTTAGAAATGTTGGAATGTGTCGTTTAATCCTTAGTTACTATTTAAAGTGATTTGGCATTTCACTGTACTTTAAGTACAAATGGTCTCAACACTGTTGTCAGTGTAAGCATGTGGGTGTTTGTCGGTGAAAAAGAACAAAATATACCTTGTTAAAGAGATATGTGACTATCCAACTATTTTAAAACATACAAAGTGGAGCCCCATAGATGCAGGTCAGACATGAATATAACATGGTAACCTGAGCCACAGACCTTGAGGCTGTACACCTGAGCTAAATCCTGTTGCTTTACACGGAAACATTTAGTTCTGAGAGAACAATGCATGGGACTGTTTAAAAAGGACAACACTGACCGGCAATGCATTGGAAAAAATATATATATGTAGAAATAGGGCATTTAAGGCGTGCCCCTGGACCATACTGCTGTGCCATTAAACATTCTTTTGCTTATGTCAAAGGTATCCAATCTCACGCCTCCAGGGAGGGGGCATGTACTCTCTGAGTCCTTATCAAAGGTATGTGTCGCTCTGTCTTAGCATTTCCACAGCGCATAGCAAACCGTGTGGACTACGATGAGGACCATTTCCCTGCTATTTCTGGTGAGCATGACATATTTCTTAGTCTCCCGCTGTGATGAGAAAGAACTGAATAGAAATTATAATCAGATATAGAAATACATTTAATATCAACTATGGAAATCATGTGAAGTGTGTAACTTGAATGTACAGAGACTTGAACTTGTAGTTTGTCTTGAAAACTGAAGGTGAACAAACGCAAAACCAGTTTTACTCGAGCTCGTCAGTATATATTTAGCCATCTGCTCCCTACAGTTGCTGATAGTGGGGCTAATTATGGTGTTTTTTTTCTCTTATGGTGAATTTGGCAGTAACTGTAGAATCTGACATACTTTTGTGAATAGATGACAAACAATAAAAAACTTTAGTCTTATCAGTCTAATCAAGTGTTATGGTGCTGTTCTTTTTCCTGAATAATGTGTTGTGTTAAAGGCTATTTAGATGGCTGTACTTAGACTGTTATATTTAATTTTAGGTTGACAATATGTTAAAATAAACAATTATTAAGATATCGAAATCACTTGGGTATATTTTAAATACTGACACTGGGATGCCAGCTCTCACGTAAACATCACAACATCCCACAGAGCTGGAGTCAGCTGTTTCTGTAATTTTCTTGTTGTTGTTTTGTTAGATTACCTGTTCCGTGTCTAACGTGGCAGATTGTTGCTTAAAAAAATATGTTTTTGAGAGAGATGGTAGGTGTATGAATAGGTGTATGAATACGAATGACCAATATATATATATATATATATATAAATATAAATATCCCCGCGACCCCATTAGGGACTAAGCGTTAACAATAATGGATGGATATATATATATATGTATGTATGTATGGCAGAAACGCCATACATACATATATATGTATGGCAGAAAAGCCCGAGTACCCGGAGAAAACCCTCAGGGAGAACGTGCAAACAATCGCACAGGTGCGAGGGAGAATCTGTGACTATGACTTCCCAAATTGGGTGCAAAACAGGAATCTTGAAGTAGATAATGAGGCATTATCTACTCCATTTCTTGGGAGTCATAGTCACATATTCTCCCTCGAACCCGGACGTTTCTGTGTGGCGTTTGCATGTTCTCCCTGCGGGTTCTATCCAAAAACATGCATGTTATGCTAATTGACACTCTAAATTGCCCTTAGGAGTGAATGTGAGTGTGTGTGAGTTTTTGTCTCAATGTTGCCCTGCGATAAACCGGCGCCCTGTTAAGAGTGTACCCCGCCTCTCAGCTGGGAGGACTCATGCCATCACTCGCATAAGAAGCTGATGACTCTTGCCACATTCCATTGTTTGGCCCCTGTAACATATATGGTGTGATGAGAAAAATGTACATCATCAAATACGCTGTGTGTCTAGATATATAAAGGACAATCAATTTGAATGGATCAAATTTAAATTGATTAAAAAATTTTGAGACCTTATTGGGAAACTGCAATGTTACACTTTACGTAAAGGTTAGATGTGAACACGGTCTGGTACAACTCTCTCTCTTTACTTAAGGATAAATAAAAATGACATGTTCAATTTAAAATTATTTATAGAAATTGTCCCTTTTAATACCAAGTTGAAAATAAAAGCAAAAAATCCGACACAAAACACAGCTGAGTCTAACTTAGAGACAATGGGGTTTCTAAAGAAAGGGGGCATCTCAGCAAACATCCCAAAATCCTGCCAACACCCTCACACACGCACAAAAATGCCACCCGACGGGCTACACATTACCACAAAGGCGTCAGACGCTCAATACTCTTAATAAGAGGAATATCAGAGCTCTAAACCGCACTGTGGAAATTTTATTTTTTCCATGCCAGGGACAAAATGAATGAAAGTCAGACGGATAGACATGATGATAAGTTCAGTGCTCAGTGTAATTAAAAGGTTCTTGGTGATGATGATGATGATGATGATGATGATGATGATGATGATGATGATAACCATATTGGTCTATTTGGCCTCATCAGGTTGCATTCACAGCTTTGGGAGGAAGTTCCGATGGAAAGCATAACAGTCGTGCCAAACGGGTAAATGTTCAATGTCTCAATGTCTAGAAGCAAACCATTCCTGCAGCTTTTTTATTTTAAACAGAAAGATCCGAAACCTTCATTTTTCATTCTACTCTTTGATATCATCAGGATCTCTTGGTGCGTACCAAAAGAAGATGGGTCCTGTCTACAATTGAAATACAAGAGGAACTAGAGGTGGATTATCCACATCAAATTTCTAGGGTAAAGCAATCTTCTAAATCGATGAACCTGCCAGTGTAGGAACAGTTCTGCAAATAACCAACGTATCACTTTCATTAATTTTTTTCTAGATGTTTAATGACAAGACACAAGGGAAACAATTTGCATTCCATATAAGTGGAGAGGGAGTGGATGACGGATTGTTCACTGTTGATAAAGACACTGGAGCTGTTTTTGCACATAGACCGATCGACAGAGAGAAGAAGTCAACCTACCATGTGAGTTCATTTACGTCAGCTCTGTGAGGAGTGATTCTCCCGCTGAAAATACATTTGTGCCATGATCTATAACAATTCAAATCGTTTCCAATCTGTGTTTATTCTAATCTAATCCTCAGGTCAAGTTTGATGTCTTTGACATAGAAACCAACCAAAGAATTGACAGGGAACTAAGCTTTGATGTGGCAATAACGGACATAAATGACAATGCACCTCAGTTCATAGATCCGCCAACAACAGTCGATGTAGACGAAAACTGGGAAGAGGGTGAGGAGACCTTTTTGATCATATAAGTAATCAGATAGCTAAACAAATGAAGACAGACAATAAGACTACCATGTTAATTGCATTAAATCTTGATCGTTAGACTGAGATGAAAATACCACACCTTTCTGCCAAATGCCTGTGTAGATTAGTTTTTACAACTGCACGTATGCATGGTTCAGTTTGCCCAAATAATTTGGTTTCATACTGCTGACATCTATCTAATTTTTCTTGGATTCTTAAATGTATTCTCTCTGGTTTACAACATTTCAAAGGGTACCTTCCGGCGGTGTTTTATTTTAAGGACATTGACAGAGAAGATTCAGATAATTCAAAAGTCACGGTTAGCATAATCTCACAGGATCCAAAAGAACCCACGATTGAGGTTCTACAGCTTGATGACAGAATGGCCCAGCTCTCATTGAAAGGATGTTTTGACTATGATGTAAGACCCAGTGACTCATCATAATCTTAAACACTTTAAGTATGTATCTATGCATGTGAGTTTTCTAAATTATATGTATCTACTGTGTGTACTAGAAAGAAAAACAATACAAAGTTACTCTGGAAGCAAAAGATCATGGAACACCAGTCCGCTCCTCTACTACTGTTGTAACCCTCAATATTGGTGACACTAACAGTCATCCACCAACGTTCAAGAAGAGGGAGGTGAGTATTTATACTAAGTTTATTCTCACTTAATTTAAAATATCAAATTATTTAGGGCATTGAACTGATAACTTTTTGTCCATTTAGTACGAGGCTGAGGCTTTGGAAATGACGGTCCACAAAGATCTTTTGAGATTTCTGGTTGAGGATAAAGATGCAACGGCAAATGTTGATGACAACAAAGCCATTTACTTCTTTATCAGTGGGAATGAGGAAGGACTCTTCGAACTTGAGACTGACCCAGAAACAAATGAGGGTATTCTAAGTGTCGTAAAGGTAATCATTATCTCTACTGATTTAGCCAACGGTCTGAGTTGCAGGAAATTCTGTCAGATGAACTGATGTTAAATTAGATATTTTCCACAGGAGAAGAATTATGAAAAAACAACTCTGATCCACCTGGAAATTGGAGTAAAGAATAACGCTCCTTTATTCATGTGTAAAGATGGGAAACAGACTAAGGATACACTTCCAGACACAGCTAAGATCACAATAAAAATGATTGATACCAATGACCCACCAATGTTTGAGAAACAGACAGCCGATGTGTTCCAGATGGAAGAAGCACAACCAGGACAGGTGCTATTCACTCCAAGAGTTAAGGATGTTGACTCTGAGAACTTCAGGTACACTCTTTATGTATGGCAAACAAATGTTTTAGTTTGAATACGATTTTACAAGAAGAATTTAATTTGGTTAATCAACTCAAAAAACAAACAACTAACTGTAATAGTTTTCAAGTGTGAAAGTATTCAAGTTACCCTCCCCTAACAAATCTATTTTCATTCTGTATTTCCACAAGTGGGTGTGCTAATATCCTATGAGGTGCTGGTTCTGAAACGTGTATGCTGATTTTTTCCCCTATGACCAGATTTGAGCTGATAGAAGATCCCGCTAACTGGATGTCCATCGATAAAAAAACTGGACAAATTACAACAAAGAAGATGATGGACAGAGAGTCGCCTTTTGTTGGCGCTGACAACATTTACAAAGTTGTCATGGTTGCCATAGATGATGGTAACAGATTACTCCACTGTGAATGATAGCCATAACCAAACAGCAAAACATGAACAAAATCAAATCAATTTTCCTATTCTCTGGTGTCCAAGGTGAGCCTCCAGCAACAAGTACAAGCACCATCAACATCCACCTCAGTGATATCAACGACCACGTTCCAAAGCTCACAAACAACATCACCATCATGTGTAAGAACCGAGTCAACAAAGTCACCGTGTCAGCTGAGGACCTCGATAAGAATCCCTACAGTGGGCCCTTCACATTCTCTCTGGGGGATGATGAAAAACTGAAACAGCGTTGGAAACTAGACCCCTCTTATGGTTAGTACAAATCTACAAGTCACTACAAATAATTGGGAAAAACATCCCTTTGGGGGACTCTTACATACCTCTCTTTACACCAGGTGAACAAAGCAACCTCATTAGCCTGAACAAACTTCGGCATGGTAAGTACTCGGTGCAGCTGGTGATTAAGGACCATCAGAATGCGATCGGACGAGAAACACTTGAAGTGGTGGTGTGTGACTGCAAGGAAGAAGATGTCTGTGATACACGCAACTCTAGTTCCTTTGATGTGGGAGGAGCATGCATCGGGATGATTATTGCAGCAGGACTGCTTTTATTTCTGAGTGAGTATAGTTATGCTTTTTGATCAAAGAAATTGTCATTCGGAAACCAGTCAGTCAAATGGCATGACTCATCATTCAAAGCTGAAAACAACAATAGAACAATAAACCGTGACTCCTTTAGATCAAACAATTCCAACCACGTGGCTTTATCTTTGCAGACTGAACTAAATGAGTCACAGGAAAAGGAACATTATTCACTCTACCTCTCCGAATGGATTTATGTTTAATTCCACTTGATGGCATTTTTGCCATCTGGCCAGTGATATATTGTGTCAGACCAGACCCTATGCAGGCATCTGACTGTGATCAGATATAATGATGCAAAAGGTCTTAAGTGAATCAGAACCGAAAAAAATAAATCTGCACCCAAAATAAATAGAATTCTCGTTGTAACTAGACGACAATAATAAAACTTTATAATATCAGATATCAAATGTTTTTGTCATGACAAATGACTATAAAATATTTACTCTAATTGTAAATCGATCATTGCAGTTTTTTACCTCTGTGCCTAATTGCCATATTAGTACCTACTTTTAAACTGAGGTGACAGACAGGAATCACGGTAATTGCAGCAGTGTTTATATGTCATCTCATGAAAATGATAGCCTCTAGACTCTGTTCTCTTTCTATGTGTCTGCAGTCCTACTTCTTGCAATCCAGTGCAAATTTCCCCCAAAACCGAGAGAAGTCATTGAAGGCGAACGCAATGAGTCACTAATTCAGTACAATATAGAAGGAGGGGTAGAATATTGCAAGGTAAGCTGGTTGAAATGAAGCTGTGCAGAACAGAAGAAGTAAGCCAGTAGTGTGCTTTATCAATTCAACTAATACAATTATCATGTTCTTTCACTTCCTTCTTTTCCAGAATAAACCTACTGTGCCGTCTTCAGTAAGACACGCATCTATGACAGACGGCATTACACAGAGCAATGCCATGCTGGTACATGTTAAAAGACTCAAAATGTTTTGATGGCAGGCATGTGCTGTATGCAGTTAACAAATGTCACATTACATGTTAAGGCTGAAAGACTTCTCCATCAACACTACTCATATGGCCTCAGTAACTATACGTCTGTTTAATCCGGTTTTCTCAGGCTACTTTCACATACTTATGTGAGTGGTTTGTGCAAACTTTCATGAATAGATAAAAGGGTTCTCATACGACTTCAGGGCAAAGATGAACTTTACCGGTAGCATTGTAGAAAACGCAGAGGACAAAGCAGGAGGGAAGACTTTTTTTTGTGTTACAAAGCAGTGTTATGGGCCTTTAAATGGAAGATAAAGGTGTGTGTTGAATGGGCAGATGGACGTGATCATGAACGGGCTGGATGTTCAATTCATCTATATCTGTGAATAACCTGTTGGACCTTTCACTTAGATCTTTTCAGTTAATTTCATCTGCACAATTTCTTTGAAACATCAAAAACATGTGTCTCTTATTTGGTGTTCTTTTGACCTGCTTCTCTAGCAATCTCAGACACCTTTAAAATGGTCACATAAAATGGAAAGCTTCAATTCAGGTCAGGAAATGGTGAGTAACAGGTTTACTAATATACTCTTTTTTTCTAGTTTGAAAAAGAAAAGCGACAATAACTTTGATTTTGCTCTGCTACTCTGATACAGCATATTCCCCCGCTGATGATATCAAACAACCGCTCATACAGTTTTCGTCATGGAGGACACTTTTATGAAAGCCATGAGAGGTTTTCCAATGTGAGTGTTTATTCCTTCAATGCTAAAGCTGTTTCTGCACCATTACATTTTGGAACAACAGTTTCTTATTAGTAAAGGCTGCCTAAATGGTTTCCTGCCAGTTTAAATCCACAAGAGGGCCTCCAAACCTTTATTATCAGGGAGAAGGGAGAACCTGCAAGCTTATTCCACAAATTTAATATTAAGCACCTTTTTAAAAACTTTTACATAGACAAAAAAATTGCAAAAATTGCTGCAAGACCTAAAAGGTTGAAATGAATTCAGATATGTGATAAAACAAATGGCTCAGTGCTTTCCAGAGTGAGAGTGATCTCTTTGTATTAAAAAAATAGATGTTTGATACTTCTCCATTCTTGTTTTGTTAATCATGTGTACAATGTGTATTACAGTTTAATCTATAAATCTTGTTAAAAAAAAAAGAATGTCACCACGACCCATCGCTGTTTTTGTTTTCTTTATCCAGGATTTGGCGTGGACCAAAAACAGGAGGCAGACCCATCATGTAAGCTGTGCCCCTCAGGGGCTTATTCGTTTTCAATACAAATCTTGAAAACAGTCTAAAAGAAACAGCTTGTTGAGGAAATGGATTACTGTTCACATACTCCCCTTGTCGTTAGGCCAACTCGTTACTTTCCCAACAGTACTCAACCCGGGGAGACTTGCAATTTAGGTATCACCAAGAGGTAAGAGAGTTTTTAATTCACATCCCAAACATACTGTATGATTGATGCATAAATGTCCTAAAATACACACACGAAACAAAGAGCAGACAGGCCACAATTTCATAACGTTGTTTGATGGAGAGTACTTATTTAAAGTTGAACTTTAGTAATGTTCATGAACTCATGACTGAGAAAAAACATTACTGGAGTCACTGATCTGGTTTACCTCATATTTATTGCCAAGAACACTATATGATGTATCAAAATTGTACATTTTTTAGGCGCATGTCAGTAAAACTTTCCTTTCTCTACTAAATCCTATAGAAACTTAGGAGGCTTAATGAAGAGGACACGCCTGAATATAAACCCCACTCATATGCATATGAAGGACGTGAAAGCGTATACTACTTTCTGGATGAACTGTCAATCAACAGCCTGGGGGATGATTTGCATTTTCTGGATGATCTAGGACCAAAGTTTAAGGTCTTGGGAAATATATGCACAACGACAATTCCAGAAAAAAATATACAGCTTTAAAGGGAACTGCTGGAATTAAGTCACCCCTTCTTTCTAGCCACTAGTTAGCTCTGAGGACTGATTAGCTTGAAGATTAACCAAAAGAACTGGATTTGATACTGCACTCTTTTTTTTTTTTTTAAACTCAAATTTTCTAACTAGGAACTAAGCGGATTAGCAGCAGGAGTTCTCTTCTTGTACAATATGACAAGGTTTGGTTATTATGAAAGTATTTGAGTGTTTTTCTTTCAGCTACTGCTGATTTTGGTAGTCCTGATGCTTTTCTGGGTTCAGTATTTTTTTAACAAAAGAAGTAAGGATAATTTGTTGAATTCATGGTTTTGCCTTTCTTATAACAATGCCTGTAAGAATACTTTTGATTTGTTTTAAGTCATGGAAGAGCACCTGTATGATGGGCTAGGGGCCAAATTTTTATCTTGTGTGCCATTGGTGTGGAATTAATGCGAAAAGCATTGTGTAGCCTTTGTCTTAAATGCTATTTTAAAAGTAGTATATAGATATTTTCATTTAGTATTGATAAAATATATATAGGGAGGAATCTTTGGATAGATGTTTTTAGGTTGGAGTCTAAGGGAAGTAGTTGTGTTACTGCTGGATATTAAAGTACTATGAGAATGGAAAAGAGTTGGGTAGATGGAGCTCAGCTACAAGCATACTCAAACCAAACTTTTTGTCTGCCATTTTATGAAGATTGCAACTGATAATAACTTGTTCATACCTGAATTTGGTCCATACCAAATAATTTGGCATCTTAAGAGTCACCAATTATCACCAAGCAATGGTTACAAACAGTTATGGCTTTGTCATTGCTTCTTTCAACTGATTTAAAGGAGCGTGTAGCTGAGCCCATTTTAATTACTGGATTGTATAGCTTATGCATAGTTGTCCAATAGTATGAATCACTCGCAAAAAACATTGATGCTATTGCTTAAGTGGTTTTGTTGGTGCATGTTTAAAAAGGTTCACACATTTTAGATGTTTTTTTTTGTGTGATGGACTGCTTTTTTTTTTTAGTTCACATTTATGTTTTGCAAAAACGTTGCTGTTCTGTGTCTAACACAAACTTGTTTGAACTTTTCTGTCAGAGCTTTTTGTCAGGAGCAGTTTAAATATGTATTGTGAGTGTAACCGGTTGCACTTCAGGCGGATTATGGGTTGTCAGGTGTGTTACAGCGGAGGGCCTCTCTGCTGGAGATGCCACATTGTTTTAATATGGAAATGGTTAATTAAATCAATACCGAAAAGTATGTTTCATTGAACTATCTTCCCTTCAGTCTGTATTTAAAAAGAATAAATCAGACATACTAACTAATTAAAAAAAGATAATGAAATCTAAAAAACAGAGATAAGTGTTACTCTGAACAGGTTTGCTTTCTTTATCCCTGCAGAATGCTGCCTTTGCCATTTATGATAATCCAGAGCATTTACTGTATTCAAAAAGAGTGTGAACTGAAGACAAGTGTATGGGATCAATGGCAGAGATGACAAACATCTTAAGCCGAACCCTAAATCTCACCACACATTATTTTTTTTAGATGAAGCCTCATTATGGGTTTCGTGTGTTCCCAACTGACAGGAATCTACATTCACAGTGAAAACAAGTTTGCCTACTCATACATTGCCCCAGGCACATTTGGTTGTGTTCCGTCTTGCAAAATGCCTGCAAGACGCAAACTGAATTCAGAGGAATTGATGTTCCATTTATCAGAAAAAAAGAAATAATGGTGAGAAAGTCAGATAGGCAAGCAGAAAAACCCAGCGGTTGAAAAATCAACCCTAAAGAGGAACATGCAAAAAGGAGAAATTAATAAAGCAGGTTATGCAGCATAGTACTTGATGACTTGTTTTTCTGTACAAAACGTAAATGCTTGGGGTGACGAGGACAACAGGAGTACCAAATGGGTTAATGTTTATTATTCTGTAAGCTGACAACTGATTCAAATTGTTTTTATTAAATGTATGGATATCTCTTTGCAAATATTGTTGTGGTCCACATTCAGACCTCATCAGGTACTCCTATGAACTCCAAAGTAGAAGAGATCCGACTACACTGAACATCAAGAGGAAATTACTTTGAAGTATGCATACCTCATTTCTCAGGTGAAGAAAGTATCATATAAATTAAATAAACACTTAGTTGCCCATTTTCTCAAGGTTAGTAGTGTGAAAATTGTGAAGCTTGGATGTATTTGCTTCTTGGGGAGGGTCCTTTTTTGTAAAAGTTTGCTATTGAAAAGTTGATAGTTGTGACAGTTTCATGGGATATACAATTTTCAAGGTCAAAGATTCTGTTCCCTACATGTAGAAGTCTGAAACTTAAAAACTTTTGGGTGTTTTTCTAGTGGAAAACTTATTAACAAGTTTAAACATTCACTGAGGTCTAACGCATTGTGTAAATTAGGTCATTTGATCAGTTGAAATGTGAACCGTATCTCCTTCCTCTGGGCTTTTTAGCAGTGTTCAGCCTACCAAGCATTCTATACGCACATGCTTGGTTGTTTGTAGTTTGATATGGGAGTAGGGTTAGGTGGGGTGTGGTGGTGGATAAGCATAGAGCTGTCTCTGTCTTCCCTGCTGGTTTGAATGCTGCGTTTATGGACAGTGACAACCGACAGTTAAGCAGTTGATAAGAATCATAAAATAAGTCAGGAAGTGAAATAGTGAAAAGTCAGATGCTGTAAATCATCAACTACAATGTTTAATGTTACTAGCTACCCCTCTTCTATAGTTTTTCTGACAGTTAAGTTTCCGTGACTCTGTCCTGTGTTTCCTGCTCTGAAAATCATACAAAATGTAATTGTTTGATTGATTTAATTGAATGAAACAACTGTGGAACTGACACAACTGACTTTCATTCATATAAAGCACATTGAACTTGAAATCCCCCCCATCTACAACAAATGCTGTAAAACTTTAGTTTTTATTTTTCACATGTCACACTCTGGTTTCACTTTCCTGACCAAACCTGCAAACCTTTTTGTCAACAGATCTGCACACATCTAAGACCGGTGAAAGAAAAGAATGCAACTGTGTCTGGAGGGTATACACGCCCAGAGAGAAAGTTCCCTTTAAGAAACCTGCTATACAGGAAATAAATTTCAACTTCAATTGGGTTTGTCCAGTGTACACGCGTTCTTGCTTTGAATTTACCTCAGTGGACGTACCTGGTTCATAATAAAATTTCTCTGCGTTTGATATTAAGGGAGCCACCCTGCTGCCTGCATGCAGAGTGGGTGTGTCCTGAGAACTTACACAAGCTGCGAGTGCTTCTGCTTGAGTAAAACAGCGTGGACAGCAGACATTGTTGAGCACGATGAGGAGCATTTCCTTTCTTCTGTTGGTAGGCATCACCTTATCATTATCATATTGTTATATTAATTACAGAAATTTGGAGTTCTTATGTATGGGACTTTAGCAGCTTTCTGCATAGCTGAAAAGTCGTTCCATTTATTAGAATCAGGTGTGCTGGAGCAGGGAAACTTGGAAAACAATCTAGGGCAGTGTGCTTTGAGGACCAGGGTTGGGAAACACTGATTTAAAGTAACCCCTTTCAAGGGTTTAATTGAAAGAAATAGGTCACTTATGACCGTCATAAAAAGATTGTGAAGCATATATGAACAAAAATCTTATCAACCAAATGTTTGATAGAAATAGCTAAAATAGCTATTATACTTAATTTCCTGTAAACCGTTAGACATAAGTAGTCTTCATATGTATGTTTACAAAGCTGAGTGATTAAGAGTGGGCAAAAGTACTCATCAGCAAAAATAGAAAAATAATAATAATGTTTGAGATAACTTTTCGACTACAGGCCAAATAGATAAAGAATACATCACTCAAGCTACACTTGATTGGACCATTGTTGTTAATTTCTTGTTCTTATATTTTCTATGCTCTCTAAGTTCTAATTTTCTCTTAGTATATTCAAGAAGAACAGTACAATATCACAACCCCCAACATTTAAAATTTATTTATAGTTACCTACATGCTTTGCTTAATGCAGTAACGTTTTTTTCTGTTCATATCTGCCCTTTAATGTTTTAAGGCCAGATTATATCAAGACCTTATTAAGATCTGATTGAGTTCTTCTCCCTGTGCAAATAATGTAACGTGGATCTTTTTTTCTAAACTATCACCAAATGACATAAGTCCAATTTATATGTGCGGAAAACTTTTTCCCTCTTACACATGTTGAACTCCTCTTACAAACAAATGGATAGCCCTGTGATCAAAGGTTAACTTTGCCTTTTGCTTGCTCTATTTTAGAAATACAATTTTTAGATTCAGATTACAAAGAAATTTACAATTGGAAAAAAGCAAAAAAAAAGGCACAAAGGCACATATGAACTGTCTGAATTAGGTATGACTGAAGCGGGTTCGAAGGCAATCACAAGGTTCTTGCTATTGCTATTTTAATTGGCCTCGTTTTCCTGCTTTTGCAGGTTGTGTTGGCAGCTGTGGAAGAGTGTCATGGTGGGAAGCACAACAGTCGTGCTGAGCGGGTAAATATTCAATATCTGGAAGGAAACTCCTCCTGCAAGAAAAAATAGTTTAACAATCTTGTCTTTGGTCTTCACTTTGGTGTAATTAGGATCTTTTGGTACGCTCCAAAAGAAGATGGGTCCTGTCTACAATTGATCTACAAGAAGAACTGAAGGTGGAATATCCACACCAGATTTCTAAGGTTAAGAAAATTCACAAAATAACTTACACTACCTGCTGAAGTAGTAGCTCCTATCTAGCTTAACTTACTGCACAACTATTAATATGTCACTTGTATGCATTTTTTACAGATGTTCAATGACAAGACACCAGGAAGAACATATGCATTCATAATGAGTGGGGACGGAGTAGATGAGGGACTTTTCACCATTGATCAAAACACTGGAGTAGTTTATGTACACAGACCAATTGACAGAGAAAAAACACCAAGCTTCCATGTGAGCTGATTTTGGATAATTGTTCTGAAAAAGCATGATTAACTGTGTAAGCACTGACATTTTTTTCTAAAAATACCCTATTATCCACAGATCAAGTTTGATGTCATAGACACATCGACAAACTCAAAAATAGACAAGGAACTAGCTTTTGATGTGGATGTAAAGGATATAAATGACAATCCACCTGTATTCATCCAAGCGCCAACAAAGGTTGGTGTGTTGGAAAATACTACAGAGGGTGAGTAGACAATTTGGAAATGGTTCATAGTAAGCACATTATCCACCAAAAAGTGAAAGAAAATGCAGTTAGTGTTTTTGCTTTCATATTTTGGCAAGTAACTATTTCCCCTACTCCATTCAATGAAGCTACAGTCCTGAAAGTGTTTGAAGTCTCGGGGAGGGCCACCTACACCACTGAAAACCTTTTTATTTAGTTAAGTTTTTAATACACACTTTGTAGAGAATTTATTAAGAAGATTAAGATTCTGGTCTTTTGCTGTAGTTTAGCCCTTTAATATCCTGCTCAATTATTTACTAGTAACCATTTTTTATGCCTATTTGGTCTTATCAAAGATTAGTGGAAGTGAACCTATTTAGACCGTCCTGTTAAAAGAAAGACTGAGTTGTGATGTTTAAAAAATCGTCACTGTACCAGTGTTTGAAAAAGACCTCCAAATATTACTGCTCCGAGGATATGAAATGACTAAAAATGTTCTTTTTTGTGTAAAAAGACAAAGACCATGTTTGGTGTGATTGGATTTCCAAACATGCACAGTTATCTTTACCAAAATCATTAAAAAAACCTCATGATGATTTCCGCAAGATGAACTGACTAAAAAATGTATTTTATAATTTTTTACACACTGCTCTACCAAAACTTTTTCAATCTTTCATCACACTGTTTACAGTCATTTACTCCCCCCCCCCCTGAATTTCACAGGATACCTTCCAGTGTTGGTAGAAACCACGGATATAGATGACCCAAAAACGAATAATTCACAAATCATAATCACCGTGATTTCACAAGATCCTGAAGAACCCAAGATGGTAGCTGATCAGTTGGATGCCAAACACGCCAGACTAAAATTCAAAGGGTGCTTTGACTACGATGTAAGACTCAGTGATTTAACTAATATGAATAAGTTGACAATTCATAAACAACTACTCTTATTCATTATAACCTTATACCCCAACTGTCACATTTCACTTATTGCAGAAAGTGAAGCAGTATAAAGTTGTCATTGAAGCAAAAGATCGTGGAACACCAGTCCTCTCCTCAACTACTGCTGTCACTCTTAATATTCTTGACACTAACAGTCATCTGCCAGTGTTCAAGAACAGGCAGGTAAGGATTTCTATGAATATAATTCAGTTTTATCATCATTGCATGGAAAAACTCTGCTATTATGGTTTTGTATGTCTGATATAATGACACACCGTAGAATCTGAAACAAAGAACAAACTTTCACTTGATGGTGACAATGTATTTATTAAAAGCACTTTGTATGAAAAAAATAACTCCTTTTTTATAGACATGTAAAATTGTTACCGATGTAAAAATGCTCTCCTTCTTTAGTACCAGGCTGAGGCTTTGGAAATGGCAACCCATAAAGATCTTCTAAGACTTGCAGTAGACGATAAAGACACACCCTTGTATGCAGAGAACCGGAACGCTGAATACTTCTTCATCAGTGGGAACGAGAACGGCATGTTCAAACTTGAAACTGACCAAGACACAAATGATGGTCTTCTAAGTGTCGTCAAGGTGACCAGCATTTCTGTTTACCTTCTAAGTTTAGGTTCAACTGCTAGTCTAAACCATTATTGTGAGCATCATAACATCAGTAAAACTTGCACTTTTCCCAACTGTTGTATTGTTTTCCACAGGAGGTGAATTATGAGAGATCAACTTTGGTCCACCTGCAAATCGGAGTGAAGAACACTGGAAAATTAAGTGTTTGCAAAAATGGAAAACTAGTTGTGGACCCAAGTGCACTTCCACCATCAGACTCAATCAATGTCACAATAACAATGATTGACACCAACGACGCACCAGTGTTTGACCGTGATACGGTTGATGTGTATTTGGAAGAAGAAACAGACCCTGGAAAGGAATTGTACACTCCAAAGGTTCAGGATGTGGACTCAGATTCTTTCAGGTAAGGTCTGCGTGCCTACTGATTTTATTATCTGCACCAGGAAGGTACGGTAGTCGGCTCAGTCAGCTTTTTCCTCAATTTGCAAGCAAAATTCCATGGACATTTGGCCGAATATGGGCCATATTTCAGTTTGAAAAGTGAATTATAAATGGCATACAATTGATTCTTTTTGTTTTTAAATAAGAATTTTTTCCACTTGAAATTTTTTTAACATAATAATCAGTAATAAACATTATAATTCCTCAAACTGTAATCAGATTTGAGCTGGTAGAAGATCCGGCTGACTGGGTGTCCATGGATGAAAAAACTGGAGAAATTACAATAAAGAAGAAGATGGACAGAGAGTCGCCTTTTGTTGGCCCTGACAACATTTACAAAGTTGTCATTGCTGCCATCGATGATGGTAAGAGAAAGCTCTGCTGTGTATTGTAACCAAACTGCTTTCCAATATGAAGAAATGGTTTTAAAAAATGAGCAAAATCAAGTTAATTTTCATTTTTTATATGGTTTTCAAGGTAAACCTCCAGCCACCAGTATGAACACCATCAACATCCACCTCAAAGATGCCAATGACCACACCCCAATGCTGGTAAACAGCAGCATCGTTATGTGTGGAAACAGAGACAACAGTGTAATTGTGTCTGCTGAGGACAGTGATGCTGATCCTTACAGTGGACCCTTCACGTTCTCTCTGGAGGATGAAACAATGAAGGAGTACTGGAAACTAGAACCCCCTTATGGTTAGTACCACCAATTGATGAATATTCTACATTAAAAGACAGAACAATGCAGAAACTCTCTTTGCACCTTACACCAGGTTTACAAACCAGCCTTGTTAGCTTGAAGGCACTCATCTACGGAAACTACTCGGTGCCGCTGCTGATTGGGGACAAACAGAATGAGGTCGGACGCCAGACTCTGGAATTGATTATATGCGACTGTGGAGAAAAAGATGTTTGTCGTGGGAAATTACCAATTTCATCTGAACTCGGCGATGCCGGCATTGGACTAATTATTGCCGGATTACTTCTATTTTTGAGTGAGTATAAGAAGCTGTGCAGGTATTAAAATACAAGTAAGTCAAATAGGAAAAAGTTGGTTTAGATTTGATAAAGTAAATTAATTCTAATTTCATGTAGAAAATTGAGCAAAATTGGATGGTAAATAAAACGTCAACCTTCAGTACAAGACCACATAAATAAGAAAAAAGAGCCTTTTATTATTCAAATCATTGAAACACAAAGAAAGTCGCTTGTGTAATGCCACAATGATCTAATGTACCCTGCAAATTTCTCGAATTCCAGATAAAAGATCAAATGTATAAAATATAAAGCTCATCTTGTAAATGATAGCAACAATGCCTTATAAAAAGTGGGAAAGGATGTAAGGATACAAGAAGAAAAATGTGGAAGCAATGCCATTACAAATCAAACAGAATTTGTATTTTCCATTCACTTGAATATTTTTTATGTTTTTTTTCTTTAGTCCTGCTTTTCATATTTTTCTGCTCCTGTGAAGAGAAGCCGTTTAAAACCTTGGAGTCAGAGGAGGGCAATCAAACATTAATCCAGTACAACAATGAAGGAGGGGGATCTGAATGCAAGGTGTGTTGGTTGTGTTGTGGTTGTGGTACCAATTAGAGAAACTGAGATGGTGACAGTAAGCTTTTGACAATGTCTTTTTTTTTTTTTTTTTTTTTTTTACTGCCAGGTTGAGCACACTCTCCTGACATCAATGCAGGATGTGACTGTGATAGATGGCCTGAAGCAGGACTATATTGTGCAGGTATACTTTTACATTTCTTACTCTTTCTACTAGATTTGTCCATAGAAGATACTAGTCATTCAAAAGTGAACCCTTTAACATTGTATGTCTTAAGACCCCGTTGGAGTACCACATAAAATAGTTTCTGTCAGAAGTATATTTCATGTGTATTATCTATCAAGCCTGTTGAAAATACTGCTGTGTGTTGTTAATTTTCTCTACTTAATTAGAAGTCTGAGATCCCAATGGCGACCTCCATGGTTACAGAACATGGCACAGAGCAAACTATGGTGAATAATACTTTTAAATATTCCATATCCAAAAAGTTTTACTTATCTGTGCATATGACATCTGAAAGTATTCCAGATGCACTCTTCATTTTTTATGTATGTAATCAAGGATTACAGAACCTGTTTTACGCTGTCTGATATATTCTTAATTTCTGCTTTTAAAGTCTCACGTTTTAATTCAATTTTCTCCTTTAATCTTTTATAGAAAGCACTTTGAATTGTACACAAATTTAATTTGTTTTGCCTTGCCTATTTTATGTGATAAAGGGGGCAACGCAAACAATATATTAATATGAACGAATGAATGTATAAATGTGTCTATCCTTGTGGGTTCAGATATGACTTACTGTTGTTCATCTATCGCCTACAGAGAAACGACTACAGACACTCACAGAGTTTGCCTTGGGAAAAAGAGTCTCAAAGGAGCCACAATGTGTATTCGGCGGTGAGTGATCTAGGCTTTGCTGACTATACTATTTTTTGCCGCTTACAGCCGTGTTAATACTAAACCAAAGAGGTCTCTCTCTGGTGCTGCGAAGATCCATTTGAAGTGCAGGAAGCATTTTTTTTATGGAAATAGGAACTGAAGACTGTGCAGTGGTTATTTCCTCCATCTTTTTAGATTTACACTGAAAGAAACAGTATCTTATGGCAGAGTCTTGACTGAAATGGGAGCATATGTTCGCCTGCATTTAATCTCTCTTGACTAAACTTTGAACTGATGGACATCCATATCAGATATCAGAATGTATTCTGCCTACAGGGTTTTAAAAGATATACTGCCAGGAGAAGGCAGACATATCAAATCCAAACTATCATGTTTTGTTCTAAACACACAGGCTGAGACGCTGAGAATCAGGGTAGTGCTCAGTTTACAGCCAAACCAGGTTTTTCTGGTTGTGTGCCGGAACCTTTCACTTTTACTTCCAGACCAGAACATTGCTTGTTTCGACTGGCTCGTTGTGAAGTCCAGAAATCATTCCCATGTTGTACACATTCAGTGTCTGTGTGTTATATAAATGGCAATACTCAAAGGCAATGTTTCTGAGCTGAAAAACTGTGGATCTGTGATGCCCAACACCAGCTATTCAACTTAGGTTTGTTGGTTCTCTGTCTCTTGAAATGTTGACAATAGACCAGAAACCTGTTTGTGTGCCTCAACAACATTATACTTCTTACTGTGCGTTGCTGTCAAAGAAATATGAGTCTCTTTTGTCCAACAAATCAAATGCATTGTAGAATTTGTGTGAACTCTTCACTTGACCTTTTCCTTATATAGCCACAATGTATTTTGAATAACTTTGGAAATCTTTGGAAATCAAGTGTTGGTCATATTTACTGTGTGCTCTGTGATATGAATGAGGTGGACGCTGATAAGACAATGATGTCATTTTAATTTGTGTATCTTAAAATATCTGCCAAACTGCTGCAGCAAGAGGAAATACAAATGAGGTGACTGCCGTTGTTTTCCTTTTTTCTTTTTTCAGTATTCATCATGGAATTTGAACAACAGGCAGTCATATAAAGTAAGCAGCTTGATCTTTTTTCAGTGAGATGGTTCAACGGAAGCTTTATGAAACTCAGACTGGTATTACATGAAGGTGGTGTGAGCTCACAAATGTGTCTGTCAGCAGGCTGCATCCACATTTCAGAGAAACTCTTCACTTTTCTTCTCCAATCAACGTTTTGCAGACCAGATTTTCGGGGTAGGAGAGAGGTTTATTACACAGCCCACACAACTGATCATCAGGCATATTTAACAAATCTCTTTCTTCACATTCCACAGCAAATGAACATGCTTGACAAAAATGACGTGTACGGGCCCGAGTACAGACCCGTCGTCTACAAATATGAGGATGGGAACAACGATTGCTACTCACTGGATCGACTGTCGGTCGGCAACCTGGATGATGATTTCCAGTTTCTGGACAACCTCGGGCCACAGTTTAGGGCCCTTGGGGAAATCGGCCGCCAGACAATTCCAACAAAAAAACAGACGGGTTTAAAGGATGTAGTCAGAGTGTAACTAAATGCCAAACGAGCACTGTCTCTTCCCCATTTAGCTTCTTCAGTCAAGAACTGAGTTAACTGGACTCTAGGAGGAATCATTTTTTACTCATACATGAACATCTCACTTTTATTAATCGAGTTGCTGTAAAAGGTGTTTTTATCTGCATGTTTATGGTGTCTCTATTTCTGTTAATTCCTTTAATAGCTACAATAAGGATTTCTGGTGAATGTTATCAGCAAAGCATTATCAGAAAGCAGCACAGAAAAAGCTTGTTAACCTTAAGCCTACACTTTTCACTTCTTTTAATGACACAGTTTTTTGTTATGCTCACTCCTGACACTGTCTTGGAGCTCCAGGGGTTTTATCAACACAGTTCACAACTCTGGTTTCCAGCTCAGTGCCACACCTCGCGTTTGACATTATGTTGGCTGTGACTTGTGCGTTTGTGTTCCTTTTCTCAACAAGTACAAAAATTAAGGTGTGATTAAGGTGTGTGGCTGTTTGCTGTTGTACATACTTCAGTAAAGGATCTTTGTTGATTTCCTGAGAATGCCTAATTGAATAATATGTGGCAACACAATTGTTTTGTAAGTTGTTAATCTTGTTGGGAGGTGATGTAAAAAAAAAAAAAGAAGACAATACATATATATTATATATATATATATATATATCCCTTGTTTTAAGTGTATTCATTTGTCAGGAAAATCCCCATAGCAAAACCTGTTTACACTGTCGTAAGATACACCAGTATGCGGGTATTCTTGCTCTAAGCAGACAGTTGGGATGAGGGTGTGGTATGAGTTATATGCAAATCTGAAAGTTTTCTTTAACGTCACAAAATAAAAAGCCAAGCTCAAACATGCATTTGACGTAAAGCAGAGTATTGCACCAATTTTCATTTAGCTTTGAATTCAAGGAACAGGATATCTTTCTCTCTTTACTATCCTGTCTACATTTACTATTCGTCTGCTGCCAAAAATACAAAAAAGGCATGTTTGGACCCATGCTGGGCTGTAGCAGAAATATGATATGCAAATAAGGGGAACAAAACCATGAGAACAATTTAACCAATAAATTAAGCAAAGCCAAAATGAAGCTCAGTGTCGTAATAAAATGATGATAATCTTACTTGAACTTTTGACAACAAAAAAATCTTTTTTTTTTTAAAGCAGAATTGTGATCTACCAATATACACATGCGAACTTGTTTTGCCACTTGGCGCGTTCTTTGTTTTGTACACACACGCCCATCAATGCTGGGCGTTGTCGATGATTCGCATGTTAACCTATTTCTTGAGAAGTGACTGTGTCACGGTTGTTGGTTTGAATGCCCTTTTCATTCATGATCACTGTTCCACAAAGGTTAAAAATGTTTGCTTTTTTTTTTTTAAGCACACTTAAACATTACATTAAAAACAACTGCACTAAGAAAGATAAATAGAATACTTTTAAATGTATCATGTATAGCCCATAAACCTGAAGCAACAAGAAAAACACCGTCTCAAAGACAAAAAGAGAAAAATCCAACTATTTCAACTTAACTGACATTGTTTTGTTTTATTGATGATGACATATTTTCAAAGTTCAGTCACATCTTTTAAACAGTACAGTCTACAGAAAAATGTTGGAATGAGCCACAACTACAACCAGTGGACTTGTTAAGGGACCGGTTTTGTGTAACATAAACAAAATAAGGCTATGTATTCTACTTTTTACTATCAACCTCCACAGAGACATTGAATTGAATTAAATTGAAAATAATATTGATCTACAGGGAGAAATTGACTTCCAGTACAGCCCGTACCAAGATCAAATAAACAAAACCCATAGACACACCAGTTCGTGGGTGTGTCTATGGGGGCAGCCACACAGAGGCATATTTTCCACCACAGAGCTGCCACACTGCCAGGTTTGCTTGGCTTTGTTTGTCACAATGTCACACATAATTGAATGAAATAAAGATTAACCTACTGCCACTGAAAATCTGGGCAGCTTACATGAAGACAACAGCAAATAAAACACACATTTTGAAGAGCTAGCATCCAAGTCTCCATATTGTTTTCATAATCTAATATGAAGCATCTATTTTTCACAAATAAAATTGTATCCTGATTTATCAGGATAGATGAACTGTGTGTAAATATGTCAATGTCAAAGCTTTTTTTTTTTAAAAGAGCAATGATGTAATTTTATTTACTCCAGTGTTTTAACTGTGAGAGGACCAATACAACAATACAAAGAGATGCCACAACTGTAATTGTGTTTGTTTATCACAAGACCCAGCATTGCAGAGCTGATGAAGCTAAAAGTGCAGAAAAATAAAACTCTCCCTCATTCTGGCCTATCATTAACTATTTATAATTGCAAAGTTTGCAAAACAAACCTACAGATATCATAGACTAAGAAAGAAATTAATGTAAAAATCAGCTAACATTTGACTCAAATGAAAGTTGTCTTTTCTGACTAAATACACTCTAAAAGTTCAAAATTGGCATATAACTGGTATAAGCAGATAATCTTGTGCATAAAAAAATCCTTTAAGACAACATTTCTGAAAAAGATAAAAATCTGAGGATAAAATGTATATTGGATTAAATAGGATATCAGTATGCAGTATGGTGTTTTATAGTTCTGTAAAATCGCACGGTGATGGTCGTCCTTTGTAATCCCTGTCACCACTTATATCTGACAGCAAGTGAGCGGATTCAGCTCAGGCATTTTTTAAAAATCCATTTGATTTTGTAATGCCCAAAGCCAACTTTTAACTGCACCTAATGCAAGCATTACAAGTTTTTACATGAATCCAAAAGCGGATATGCTGGTGGTTATCATGGGTGTGGGGGACTGAGGTAATTTTATTTGGAATGTACATGATTCCTGCAGACTTGCATCAGCCTTTCTCAACAAGAGCCTGCAGGTGTGGCAGGCAGACCGTGAGAAATGAGCTAAATCAAAAATAACATCTAGAAAGCACCAGAAAGAAAAAATAAGTAATTTCTCTTGTGAGGCCAAATGTGATCTGCTGAGGAATTACTTGAAATATTGGAGGTTGCTCAGAAGGAGTTCAGCAATTTATCATTAAAACCCCTCCTTTGTTGTGTTTTGAGCCCGTCCTTAAGCGGCTTGTGACTGACCGCTGTTTCTAATACTGATGATTCCTTAAACATAAGAACTACCCAATTATAGTATATACAGCCATAAAAAAAATCCCTGCATAAAAAAATGCATTAAATGTATACAAACCTGAATATTTACCTGTGGTATTTATCTTAATTGGGTAAGAGTAAACTTTAGGGGAAATTAAGAGTCTGGTTTATTATATTGTGCATTAATATATGTAAGGATAAAGATATAATGTATACATCATGACATACTTTGTTAATATAACATCAGTTAATTCGGATCTAAAAGCTATTGTTGAATTGATATGAAATAAAGTTAAAATGTTATACCTATGATCAACTAAATGCTGTATAGTATTTAGGTTCTGGAAACCTCTTTAAAGTTCTTTGGGACCACTTTTGACTAAATGCCGATGAGACAGCCAACGCTTTCATCATACTACCAAGGAAAACAAATCACACACCCATCTAAAATGACAATAACTCACTTGACTGATACTGAGACATCCTAATCAGACCATTACATCTTCCTCCCACATGTACTACCTTGATAACGCCTGACTGTATTGTTCCTTGCTTCACTTTCTACCAGCTCATTTCAAGAGCAGCATCTTACATGTGGGACAACCTTGTAAAACACAGAATCATTTGGATCTAGTATGGAAATGAAACTACTTTGTCTTCTCACAGTACTGGTAAGGATTTCTGTTTAGAGAGTCTTCTGAACATATAGGTTATTTGAGGTTTAAATTCAGTATATCTTTCATTTGAAGACTACCTATTTGACAGTATGTTTATATATTTACCAATGCTTGTCCCTAAAACCATTCAGATTTTTTGTGTACTTTTGTGATGTTTACGAAATAGTACGTAATGTCATTTCCTGTTACAATGTGCAGTGTTGGGGAGTGCAGTCATCAGATATTCTGCTGCGACAAAAGAGAGCCTGGGTCATACAGACCTTAACCATTCCAGAAAGTTATGAAGGACCTTTCCCACATACATTGGGCAAAGTAAGTACCTGTAAACCAAGTCACAATGCTTTGTTATGAACAGTACACCTCAACATGCAGAAGGACTGTTGCTGTATTTCATATTCCAGATTGAAGTTGAGAAAGGTTTGCATCACTTCAAAATAAAAGGTCAAGGAGTGGATGAGGAGCCGAAGAACCTACTAAGAATCGATGAAAACACAAGGGAGGTTTTTCTCCTGGGACCGGTAGATCACGAGCAATATCAGACATTGACGGTTAGGAGAAAATATCACACATGGATGATTTGAGCAGTGCTCTCTTAGAAAGCATGTGCAGTGTGAAGTATGATGAGTTTCACCATTTTGTCTTTGCTCTCAGGTAATATTACAGGCTCAAAACATAGAACGTAATCAAACAGCTCTCTCTATAGCCATCCAAGTCATCATAGAGGATGCAAACGACAACCCCCCAAGATTTGACTCCGAAAAATATGAGATCACCGTGACAGAGTCCACATTACAAGGTCAGGGTCTAATACTTTTCTTTTGATATCTACAAATATCGGAAATTAAAATAATCTCTTGTTTTTATGGGATATTGGCAGGTTCTGTGTTGACAACTGTTAAGGCAACAGACATAGACAGTGGTGAGAAAAATAAAGATTTTAGTCTCAGAATTGTTGGAGTCTCCCCGAAACCACAAGACTTGGAGTTCAACATAATGCAAAGATCTGAAACTGGAGCCATTTCATTTAAGGGATGTCTTGACCATGAGGTGAGAGTGCTTGACGGTATTACATATATAACATATAAAACCCCATTATATATCTTTGGCTTTACTTTAGCTATATTTACAGCTACTGTTATTGTGGATAGATAAATATTTATTATTATTTTAGAAATACAAATACAAACAAAACTATTTCAGCTGAGTATGAATATTTTTTTTACTGTTTTACATTTTGAATCTACTTTAGCAAATGTTTTCAGTTTTACAACAAATATTATAAAACTTATTTTGTACTCTAACACCAACCGACATTTAAAAAATTGGGTCATTTTTTCAAATGATCTAATCAAACAGAAAATGTAGTGGTTATCATGGTGACTTTATTCATTCTTAATTTAAATCTTAAAAGATTATTAGAGCCACTGGTCAAAAAGAAAGTTTAGAAATGTATCCACGAAAGATTTGCTGGACTGCAGTTCCTTTATCCTTTTCTTGTCATGTTTGCCTCTGAGCTATTCAAAGATTTCCAATGTAATTGAGGTCTTGCTGGTGAACAAAAAAAAAACATTTTCTGGTTACATTAGATGTGTACTCCAGATCATTCTATTGTAAAAGAAGATAAATTGTTTAAATTAGAATACATTTTTTAAATAGGACGACACCTCTTTTTTCCAGACTGCCTCGTTTTTATTTGGTTTAATTACAAAAATGTTCATATTTAATGGGATGATTTTCAGATGTATTTTCAAACTGAGTGGTCTATTCAACCCCCCCAGAAAGCAGAGAAGTACACCATAATAGTAGAGGCCAAAGATCATGGAGAACCCCAGCTATCCAGCTCCTGCACAGTCATAATCAGCATAGAGGATGGAAACAACCACCTTCCTGTCATTACAGGACAAAAAGTGAGCGATTACTAATTTAACTTACTTCAGCTCCTGCTCTCTTAAACTAATTCAACGCAGCATCTTTAACTTTTTTTTTTACCACCTAGGGCCCTGGGAGAGTTAAAGAGGGACAGAAAGATGTCCTGGTTTCACGTCTACAAGTTACAGATGCAGACGTTAAAGGTTCCTTGGCATGGAAAGCAAAATTTCTCATCCATGGAGACACAGATAATAACTTCAGGATTACGACTGATCAACTGACAAATGAAGGGTTGCTTTATGTGGAGAAGGTACTTTTTACTTCCTTAACTGTACTCGCACATTGAATCTACACTTTCATGTTTGCTTTTGAAAATATAGAAAATGTTATCAAATGTTTTATGACAAAAAAATTACAAAACTAACTTCCATCCCTCTATTTTCTTTATTGCTGATTAATTTTGCATCATAGGGCAACACTACAAAGGAACTTAATTCAGATAAACATGTCATGTTTGATACAGGATTTCAGTGATAACTGGATGGTCATTTTGATTTAACAACTTAATACGGACGCCAGCTGTTGAAATTGTTTGACTGACAAGTATTGTACTTTTCTTTCAACTAAAGACATTTAATCAAAATATATTTGGCCGTCAAGAGCCAAACATGTGGGTAGTGGGACTGTTCCAGTTTGCATTTGGTCTTGAACGATATGTTTTCTTTTATTTTAGGACATGAAAATGAACTTTTTTATATGATAACATTAAGATTTTTTCTTCTTTTACAGCAACTGGATTATGAGGAGGTTCCAGTGAAGAACATCACTGTCACTGTAGAGAATGAGATTGCCTTTCAAAAATGCAAAGTGCTGGACCGCACCATTACTGGTCTGTGGAAAACACAAATTATTAAAAGCGTTACCGATGCCACTGCAATTGGAAGCGTGTCTGGCACAGAAGAAAGAATAACACTATTCAGCTATGATGTGACAGTCACAGTGGTGGATGTCAATGAGCATCCAGTTTTTGATGAAGACCAAAAATCTGTTTCGTTGGCTGAGAATGCTGCACCTGGCCAACACTTGGAAACATTTAAAGCTCGTGACTTCGACAGATCAGACACAGTCATGTAAGTTGCAATAGCCCTGCTATATACAGACGAATCAGCATGTAACCAGAGAAAGATAAAAAATGTCTGATGTCTGATGTTTTTTCAGATACACAAAAGGCAAGGATCCAGCTGACTGGGTTACAGTTGATTCCAAGACAGGAAGAGTAACCTTGTCAAAGAGCCCAGACCGAGAGTCATCCTTTGTTAAGGATGGTATCTATGTGGTGACAGTAAATGCTATTGATAATGGTGAGACTCAGAGCACACGTGTGCCAATTCATTCATCACCACACCTTTCAACGCATTGCTAAAAATGTTACGCATATCTCTTGATACCAGGTAAACCACCAAAGACGGGCACAGCAACTCTCAGCATCACTGTAAGAGATGAAAACGACAACGCTCCATCCCTGCTCGAACGGAAGATAGACATGTGCGTGTCTGAAGAAGCCTCAAAGGCCCAAATAACTGCGTCGGACCTTGATGAAGAGCCCTACGCTGGACCTTTCAGGTTCGGGCTCCTTGGAGATGTCGCAGACAAGTGGAGAATTGACCCTGAGCTGGGTGAGCTTCAGCTCGGGCCATCTTTTACTGTGGATCTAAACAAAACCAAGATCCATACGCTGTTTATACAGTTTACGATGTCCTCGCGGTCAAGGACCTGAAAGAGCATTTGTTTTGGATTTGTAGGGCATACAGTCAACCTTGTGAAGGAAAACAACGTTTATTCTGGGTCCTATGAGTTGCAGCTTGAACTGTCGGATCTTCAAGGAAAGAAGGCTGTCCACAACCTGTTAGTCACTGTGTGTAGCTGCACCGACCAAACGAAGCCAAACTGTGTACTTCAAAAAGCTACTGCTCACTCCACATTAGGACTTGGAGCAATAGGAATAATGTTTATTTGTATGGTTCCAGGTAAGACTTTTGTTTTGTTTGTAAAGAAATAGTATCCAGTGTCAAGGTATGAGGACAGAGTGTATATTTCTGTGCTTTTTTTCTCTTTACTGCAGCTTTGCTCTGTTTAGCTTGTAAGATATCATGTCACGACCACATGCTACCATTAGAGGATGGGACCTGTGACTCACAGTTGATCACTGATAACATGGAGACACCAGGGACTGACTGCAAAGTAAATATCTTCATCTGAACTAACCCTTTCTTGCTCATAATCAGCATGTATATACAGAAAGGCGCTGGCTAAATCAAAGACACATGAATCTTTTTTATATTCCCGCTACTTTGCCAAATTGCCTATATGTTTCATAATTAATTTTGCAATTATTTATTCAACTCCTTTTAAATAAGTCTTAAAATTAGCCTGAAATGCTTCACAGCTTTAGGACAATGTGGATTGTTTCGGTATCTTACTATTTAAAATCTATTGTCTGTGTCAATATGTTAAGGTGCCAATTAAACAAGTAAGCATGGGTAAGACCAAAGGAAAGGGAGCCATAGCACCAGTAAGTATTGAGAGTAAAGTATATACATAAATAAGTTGTACCTGAAGAAAAGTTGCCGTCACAACAAATGTGGATTTTTTTTCAGGCTGGAACCACTTTTGGTGGCATATCAACTTCAACAGTTTCCCATGGAAATTCACAGAAACAAGCATACCTCCAAAAGCGAGCCCAATGGAACCAATTTGAAATGGATATTATGCAAAAGGTAATTCTGCGGGTCACTGCTATAAAACATGACCTTCAAGATAATACATTCAGATTGAAATGTTTTGCAATTTGCTTTTCCCACCTAAGCCATCCAACTAGACCACTATTAAACACGGAAATAATCCTCCAAATATTTTTTTGTATGATTTCAATACTGCTAAGGTAATTTTCGTTCCAAAGTTTCGTTCCAGTTATTCTTTTCATCTTGACATTTTCGGTCAAGACCAACAGTAATTTTGAAGTTCAACAAGCTAATGCAAACTCATAATAAAATAAGATGAAAATGTCCTTTGACACAAGAAATGAGAAAAATGCATCAAAAATGTGTGTCTCTCGCTAGAGAAAACACACAACTGCACGACTGTCACATGTCAAATGGCATGATCTTCATTGTTATTTTAGCAACGCAGAAAATGTCTTGAAAACATTTCACCCTGAGGCGTCTCTTGTTCTGAAAAATGGCACAACAGATACTGAAGGAAAACAGTCCGGCAAGAGCAGATTGTAAAATAAATCTAAATTAAAAAGACAATTTACACAATCACGATTCAATATGATTTATGAATTAACTTAATATCGCTTGAATTCTTTAGAAAAATGTGATTCATTTCCTTTAGTTAATGTGAAAATTGCGCTTGTGAAAAAACTCTGAGTCTGTATTATATATTTAAGATTTCTGATGAAGCATTAATCGGTATGGCTGCAGGACAACACACGTCGGCACAAGTAATTACTGAGTTTAAAGTATATATATACGTCAGTCCCAAAAGTTATTTTAGAAAAGTTACCTCATAGCAAATGTGGACTTTGTTTTCCAGGCAGCAAGTACTTTTGGTGGCATTTCAGCTTCAACCTGGGGCTCTTCACAAAAACAAGCATACATCCATAACAGAACCCAAATGGAACGATATGAGATGGTAATTCAATTTAAATTACTGACTTCCACAAAACTAGCATCAACTTCAAGATCTCATTCAGATTTTTGTTTCAAATATTAAATCAAAGCAAGAACTAACTGATCCAAAAGGCAACTAATGCCCATATGTTGGAAACTCTACTGCAGCTACTACATTGTAAACTAGACTAAACTCGATTCCAAAATGTTGCTGTGTCATGGGTTACACCTTTAAAATGCTGTTGTAAATATAGCTGACCTCATTCCACTCAAGCCATCCTGCTAAACCACAATCAAACATAGGAATAATCCTCCACATGTGTTTTTTTAAAAACTTTTGCTAAGGTAATTTTCATTCCAAAGTACAGCCACTAACATTACAGAACATATCTGCATTTAGCTGGATTAATTATACCAATTTTGGAATTGATTCAATATTGTAAATGCATCAACTACTTAACTCTTTCATTTCGAAATCTTTACAGATAAAGACAACATCATTTGCTATGAAGATGACAAATCAACAGGAATACCTTCAGCACAGGGTACGGCAACACACTTAACTGTTTCCACTGTTCTATTTCACATCGAGTTCATTTCAAAGCGGATAACTATAGCTTTAAGATGTGCATTAAAAAAAAAAAGGAAATTCTTCTTGTCAATTTCAAAGCATGCGTTGGAACAAGAACATCTCTACCACTACACTGCGCTGAGCTCGGCTGTAACCACAGCGCTGGACACACTGAGGGCACCGGGGAACGAGCTGGGCGATTATGAACCACATGTGTACACTGAAGAGGGAGATTCAACACACAGCTTTGAACTGGATGCCATCTCCAATCCTGAAATGTCCTTCGATCTAGACATGGACTTTGATGTGAGTTTCAGCACCCTGGCCTCGATCTGCGTGCCTGATATGGTCGGTGTCTTTGATAGAAGAGCTGAAGACAGCAGCTTTGAACAGCAGTCTGCAGTAACATACACACACTTCAGCTATTCGGGAGCTAGAACACACGAGGTGAGCCGTTACACACAGCAGGACTGCCTTTGTTGAAAAAGGTGCTTTTGCTTACAGGATACAGATCTAGAGTTCATTTCTTTTTCTTGTTATTTTGGACAGACAATGTCAGTGTTGATGCAGGAGGAAAAATGAACCACATCAGAATTGGTTGAATGAAAAGATAGTTTAAAAAAAGATTGTTATTTATGGTCACAGTAAGTCAATTGAGTTCAGATGCGGTCCAAACGGCATTGATATTTATTTGTTTTTAATTGTATCTAAACGTAGCACCTTTATACAAATGTCTGTAGCTGGCTGCGTTATTTTCCCATAATACTAACTGAAATGAACATTTACGTAACTGCTGATCAGAAGACGAGAGTGAGAACTACAGTACATACTTTTAAAAAAAAGGAAAAGTTAAGTGAAAGCAGTGGGTTCTATATTTAATGCCATGTGGGCTTTTTAGACTGAAATTAAACATTAGCTGTACAAAACAAGGAAAACACAGATCCATATTTATGATATGAAATAACATGCAACGTGCCGTGAATCCGATTGAAGTCAGGCCATTAAATGTTTCCTGTTTTTAAACTCATGTGCCGTTTCAACAGAACTAGCACCTCTAAGCATGAACGGCTGCCATGATCAGGTTTTAAAGATAAAGGCATCCCAACATTTGTGGATTCAATTCACCCATGTCAACATGTAGAACCAGTTTTGTGTTTGGTAAGGCTGTGGGTTGGTAAACAGGGCGTCACTGCGTGTGTGTGTGTGTACAAGTGTGTTTTAGGGCTTGAACTTGCAACAAGTTTTATAAGTTAAAATTTGGTTTTTTGGGTTGTTTCTTGTATGTGTATTTGTGTGTTTTTTGCTAATCTATTGTTTGAATATGTGTAGTCTGTCCACAAATACAATAAAGCCGTCCATGTTCCATTTGAAAATCTGCAAGCCAGTCGAACTTTTAACACATGAATCATAAGTTTACTACATGGTTTGGGGACTTTAATAACACCACTATAACATCTGACTTTGTTTTTCTCAATGTAAAACTCAATACAGTTAAATTCCAGTCAGACACTGACTCTGTGTGGTTGATCTAAAAACAACAGAAGGACCACATCGTATGGGAAAGAAGGCTGAATCGTTAGCTTCTTGTTTTACATTCAGAACCTTGAATAGAATGTTTGAGCTGTATATTTTTTCAGTTCCAAAATTTAAACGTATGTTTTGCACCCGTTAAAACCTAAAACTTTACATGTGTTTTTTCCACGATGACAATCTGCATATATTCATATTCACTTTGCCCTGAAAACTAAGTGCTTCAAACTATAGACCGCAGAGACAAATACAGTTTTCGTAGGTTTTAAAAATTATATAAAAAGCCAATTTAATATTCAAAGTGGTTGCTTTGAAATACAGTGCTCGTCTCCTTTGGTTTACATTCTGCATGACGAAGCCAGTGGAATTTAAGAAGGAACCTCCTTTAGATTAATCATTTCTGCCAGTCTGCCTATAATATACGACTGTTAAAATTATATAAATAAACCCTTAGATACTAAAAATGTATAATGTGTAGCTGACTGTGCCAAACAAACAAAACTTCAGATAAAAGACTACATTGACAGATGAACAAGGGGTTTTGAATATATTTTCATATAGAAGCTCCACCCTGCCAGAGCTGAACAAATAACCCTGAGAGCATGCTGAGGACTGGAAAGACAACAGGGGGTAATTCAACCATTTAAAGTAGCTCCAGCAGCTCTCTTCAATACACATCTCTAAAGACAAGCACACAACGCAGAACCAATAAAGAGATTGAATATATCTCTGTCTGTGACAGTTTGATAGAATGATGTTTAGAAGTCTTTATCAGCAGCACAGAAGTTTAAGGTACATATTTAGAGTTGTTTGCATTTTGTACAGCAGCTGCAACTTCCTTTGGTTGTTGATATTTTTGGGTGGGACTCGGAGAGATCTGTATGGATCACTTTACGCACAAGGCTTGAATATTATACTGTAAGAGCTGTATTTCTTCTTGTGCTTGTCTGCCACCTAGTGGTATTATATCTCTGTAGCTAAAGGGCAAAAGCTCTTTTCTTTTTCTTTTCTTTAAGTCGCCCACCTTCTTCAAATCCACTATTCACTTCACATTTTCTGTACCAGAACTGTTCAGGGTGGACCCGACTGAGTTTAGCTTGAGCACCCGACTCAATGCTACTAGAAAAATCTGTATAGAAAAGGGATGGATGGCATTTTCTTGACTTCTGTTGACTAAAGCATGAGCTTATGCTCTAATTCTCCTTTTACATCAGTTTCCCAAATTCTGGACAAAATCTAAGGTATATCCACAAGGTGTGTATGAAGTATAAGTCAGGAGATGCAGGCAAATAACGCTGAAATACTTCACACAAAGTACCCATTGATGGATGTCAGACATTTTTGAATGCATCTTTTAGTAACATAACATTATGTTATTTATTGTTATTATTTGTTAAAATAGAAAGCTGAAAATGGACTATTACTAAAAGATGACACTGCAATATTTCATTAACAAAATACTAAATCCTTCTTTTTTAATGTATTTATTAAACCACTTAAATAGTATTCAGTATATAATCATATTAAATACGGTAATTATATTATGTATGGATGTTTAACACCATGTTCTTTAACTCTTAATAGGTATGTCTTTGTCTTGAATGCCACCGCATTGAAGGTAGCCGTCATATAACTCTCTAAGGTGGAGGATGAGCTCCTCTGTGTTTTGTCCAGTGAGAGCAGACACTGGGATGACTCTCTGGGTGACGTGGCTTTTTAGAGTCTCTAGCCTCTCCTGAGCCTCGGAAAGGTCCATTTTGTTGGCTATAATAGCCTGAGGCCGCTTAGACAGACCAGGTTCAAACTGGTCCAGTTCGTAACGCAAGTGTTGGAGCTGGGTCCAAGGCTCTGGAGCCGACAGGTCCAGAACAAAGAGGAGGAAACGACAGCGTTCTATGTGACGCAGGAAGGAGATACCCAAGCCCCGATTTAGATGGGCTCCTCGAATGATGCCGGGGATGTCAGCGACTGCATGGAGCACAGGTAAAAACAGAACGCTTGCATCACACTAAACTGTACAATTCTGGAAAATGCATCTGGATAAAAAGAATGAGGAGAATCTGTCATGAGTGGGATGCTTAAAACTAACTACCTGCAATTTGTTGGTGATCCCTGTACTGGACGATTCCTACATGTGGGTTGAGTGTTGTAAAAGGGTAAGCAGCCACAGCCGGCCGGGCGTTGGAGATGGCTCTCAACAGGGAGGATTTCCCAGCATTTGGAAAGCCAACCTGAGGGCATAGAGCGCTTAAAACATCTGCAACCCTGAAAGGCCCCGTTCGGAACTGCTCTTCAGATATGGAGTTTTCTCCTCACCAGTCCAGCATGGGCCATGGTGCGCAGCTCCAGATGAAGGACCCGCTCCTGGCCTACCGTTCCTGGGGTTGCTGTCATTGGGGCGCGGTTCTCATTTGACAAAAAGAATCGATTTCCCTTCCCTCCAGCTCCTCCGAATACAGCCAAGAACTCCTGACCATGCGCAGCCAGGTCCGCTAAAGTTTTGCCCTGCTCCTTCACCACAGTTCCTAACGGCACCTTGAGGAGTTTATATGATGAAAGGCCAAATGAAGCAAAATAAAGACTAAACACGAATTACGTTTTTAGAAAAAAATAAACTGTTTATGATCTAAACAAGTGCAGACTCACAGAAATGTAGGTTGTGCTGCCATTACGACCGTAACAGTTTTTGCTGCCCCCTGATTGGCCATCCTCTCCCTTGTAGAGAGTAACTACTTGGGCCAGTGACTTGACAAACCGGTCGGCTGAAAGTATGCAGATAAATGATAACAATTTGAAGAGACACATATATCTCATTTGGTACCACTCTTTCTTTGTACATAGGGATACACTAGCCCCAACATTTGGTAGATGATAGAGGTTGGCAAATATAATAGTAGATGCACTTGGCTGGTGATGAGGAAGAGTCTGAAACAAGTGAAAAACGCCAAAAATGTATTTCCCATACATTAAACCTATAAGGCACTGTGGTGATGTGCAGAAGAGGGAACTTTGAAAAGCAGTTTAACAGTCTTCTACAACATGTACACAATGTCTGAGAGAGGAACCCTGTTGCATCTATTAATCCTTCATATGTATGTTGACATCTCCCTGTATTTCCCAAAAGTGTTCTGCAGCAGGGACACTGTACTTTTCAGGTTGGCTGTTTTTACAGCTGGGGATCACATCGGTAAAGTTAAATACAAGAATCAGTGAAATGACCCACTTACCTTTTATGATAATACTTCCTCCATCACCTCCATTGCCTCCATCGGGCCCACCCCACTCTTTGCGGGGCTCACTGTGAAAGCTGCAGGAACCTTTACCTCCTGAGCCAGCCACCAGCTTCACACGCCGCTGGTCCACAAAGTGACGAGTCTGTAGTAAACAATAACAAATGGTAGGATAGTGTGTGATATTTAGAGATAAATAGTATGGTCTGTAAATCTCAATATCACATTAAGATTGATTTAAAGCTTTTACATGTAAATTGCAAACTGACTAAATAATAATCCCACAACCTACTTAATACAAAGATCTTATTTAAAAAGGACACACATACCAGCTTCTTTTCAGACATGTCCCTCTTCTTCGGGTTTTGTCGGACTTTGGAGGACAGTGTTGTGGAGGTTGTAACATTTCGGACATCACTTGAACGCATCCATAGCACTGATACTGGAGAGCAACTGACAATGTAGGAGCCAGACTCGACTTTTCTGGCATCTTTAATTATATTATATCTTGAAAGTATCCCCGAACAGAGCCGGCGAAATGATTTAACTCGAGAAAACTCGATCAACATGGTGCCGGTCAACTACCGGTTAGAATTTAAAACCGGCCAACGGTTGTTGAATCATATCACTTAAGTCGTTTGTCTGAATAAAAATCCCTATTTACAGAAACGAGATGTTAACGTAGTATTTACCAATACATAGTTAGTAAAATAATGCTGACGGTTAATGAAGGACATAACCTAATGGTTCTGACATAGAAAGTACCCCACAACACGTTTGTCAGCTGCACACTAGCTATCTACGGAACCCGTGAAAGGACACGAAGGAAGCGCGATTGGTAAATTACGATTCTTTTTTTCGTTGTTTAAGTTGCCGTCTCTGCCGCCATCTTCTGTCCAGGCAAATGTATTACACGACACTTATTTATCTTTAAGGTAAATAAAATCCAGGCACACAAAATGTTGAAGTCAGTTTATTTTCATATAACAAAGAGTAACAAAAAACAGCAGAAAAGATCAGGCAAATGCAGTCTTACAATAGATAAATAGATAACATTCATATTTCATTATGCGCATAAAACTTGACCCTCTCCTTTTCTAACATTTGCACTAACATACACACATACATACAAACAAACATGGTGTACCATACACTTGATGACACACATGGAACTGTAAAAAAAATGCCATATGTGTTCAGCTCTCAGTAACAAGACACTGAAAACAGTTTGTTGTAGTACTGAGAAATCTGTGATTGTCAGTGTGGAGTTTTATATAGTTATTGGCTTCTGACAGACAGGTATCTGTTCTTGATTACCCCTGGAAAATTACTGAAACTTTTGTTTAGTTCTGAGGTAAGTATAGTTTCAAAAGAATATAGCAAAGACTGACCCTAACAACCACAATAATAAGTACAGCATTTGAAATGATGGATTTGAATTATTCAAAACATTATTTATGACACTTTTTGTCAAGAATGGCAATAAGTAGACGTTTTCATTGAAAAGATACACAGAAGTATTAAATTTCTGATGATAGACTTTAGGAATTCTGTCCAGAAGTCACATAAATAAAATAAAAAACATTCTTTGATATCACACCAGTGGATGTCTGCAGCATAACATTGAATAATAGAACACATACTGTTGTCTTAGCTTTTACTGCACATCAAGAAACTACAGACGACGGCAAAGAGTGTCTCACCATTGGATCCAACCTCAACATGACTGTCGGGTTGTATTGCACTTATTAAGGAGAGGTTAAGGACTTGTAACCGTTCTTTTCCTGGGTTGCTTTGGCTTTTAGAAGTTCACTTCTTAAAATCATTCTAAATCACACAACGGTACAAAATATCAGACATTACATACACTGTTACTCCGAAAGAAAGTGAAAAAATGGCAAACCATTTTTAAGTGAAAACCTTCAGGGAATGTTACCAGACACATCTTTACTCTGGACATAACTACAAGTGGTACTGCAGAGGAACACCACTGAATCAAATCAAAATACCACCACGATAAAGGATTATCATGGACAATGACACAGCCTATCAGAGCTATTATTTAAGTGAAACGTATGCAGAGTGAGTACGCTTAACGTTAGACCTCAAGGCAACACATCACAGTTTGACAAACACAGAAAAACTTCCAGTTCTTGTCAAATTCAAGGACGAGCAGTTCCAACTTCGTTAAATCAATTTGCCCTATCATGACAAAACTCAACTGAATTTAAAGCAATAGCCTATTTTATCCTTCAGGATCATCATTAGTCTTAATTCTTCATAGCTAGCCAATAGCATTTCATGTTCAACCAAAGCTGTAGTTATGGCGGAAGCATCGCCTCTGAATAGATTATTCAATTTTTTCAATGATACTTGATGAGAAGATGATCATTCTAAAACAGACACATTTTCTTATGGATATTGAAACCGAGCTCATTGTCATCGAAAGGATCAATATTTTTGTTCTCGAAGCAAACATTGTGATTCTTCATTGTTGATAATTTCCGTACTGGCCCTGAAATGTAAAAAAAAAAAGACAAAGACAAAAACTGAAAACTTATTATTATATACCATTTCAATGGCTGCATTGTAAATTGAAGCTGTGGATTTTATAGCACTTCATTTATATAGAAAAAATAGCATGTAGTTCACAGATACACTTCAAGTACTTTAGAGAAAAGTATGCTGTGAGTGATTCTAGGCTCTTAAAAAGTGCAACCTGTTACTTGTATGTGTAACCTGTATTAGGCACAGATTTGGACTTAAAGTTGTTGTGTAAAATTAAGTCAAATATGTCACAGATATGTGTGAATTCGGAGACGGCTAGACCTTTATATATATATATAGTGTAACTCACATATCTAGTATGAAATCAATTGCTTGTACCTGTTCATAGGCGTAGGGCCGCTGCACTTGTCGTCCAGGATCTCCCTGGGAAGAACGATAGGAACCATACTGTTGGCTCGAACCCTGCTGATACTGGGAATACTGAGTTGATCCTCCCTGGCTAGGGACTGTAATTAAAGTTAAATGAATATGTTAGATTGTTTCATACATTTTTTCACAGGATGTGCAGAGGATGACAGCGTATAAGTTATTTGCACCGTATCCCTGTGGCTGCCCACTGAAGCCCTGAGAAGAATACTGCTGCTGGCTGAAGGGCTGCTGCTGCGGCTGCTGCTGTCCAGAGCTCTGCTGGTACGGCGGCTGCTGCTGACTGTACTGACCGTTTCCTGAAGTTACACATGCCAGAAGTTAGTGGTGAATTTTTCACCTCTTAATGGAGTTTTGATTAGAAGCACCTGTACATTTGGAAGTTACCTGCTTCATAATAATGTTGTGAGGACTCATCAAATGACCTTTCATAACCCTGTTCACCATATGATGGCTGTTGATATGAGTATTCCCCATGTCCTGAACAGAATAGGATTTAAGACAAAGCAAAAGCTCCTTTGCAGAGGAAAACAAACAACAGACAAATCATTCATTCAGAACTGAAGCTTTTTACACTTAAACTAAATGGAAAGCATAAACCACACTCTACAAAGCGTCTTGTTGCAAACTCATACACAAAAGCAGACTGAAACACCCTGGAAGAAGCTTACATCCCTCCTCCACTCATTGCACTCAGAAATCTGAAATTTCGGCACACCAGAGGGGTCAGTATGGACACAGACATGCTGGCAGAAAATAGAATTGTTAATGTTTAGGTTTTTGATCAATCTGGCACAGGCCTGTGGGATTGTGCTGAAAGGAGACGGCATGAACAACAGAAGCGGTCTGTGTATTTGAGAGCTGTGTGTATGGGGTTCATGGACGTGCATGATTACCATCAGGGTAATACTGCTGGTTTATGGGCTCGATGGAGCTCTGAGTGTGTCCATACTGCTCTCCGTAGAACTCGTCTTGTCCCATGTACTGCTGTGAAGATCCTGCAAGACAGGCAACACCACGATCGGTTAAACTGGTGGACTAAGTGGATACTGAATTGGACATTAAAGAGGCCCTTTTTCTGATTATGTGCATGTTCAAATGATAGTAAGAAAGTGGCAGGGACTTTAATTTAGTGGCTTAAATAACAGGGCCATAAGCATGTCAAAACTCTAGTAACCGGTGTCATAAATGAAACCACTTATTTTCTCTAATCATGATTTTTTAACTTATGTTATCATTGATGTCCTCATTAACAAGTAATCAAATAGGGCAAGTTTGAAATAATAGTGCAACAATAATGATATTAATAATATCTCTGTCCATTTTTTTCTATTTTATACTTGCCTGTAGGGATTAATGATGACACTAATGAGGGCTACAAGCCAAAACATGTTGCATAAACACGTTTTTTGTTATATAGTTTTTACTTCTGACTCAATTGTCCCTCTTGATATCCCTTGGAAGGAGTTTAACTTATGTCTGAAACTGTTTGGTCCAAACGCAATACCTCCTTCTTACAAGTGACTTTTCCCCTCTGCTTTTGAGAGGAAAAGGGCCTATATTCTTTTAGAGATCAACAAGTATAAGCTGCATAGAATTCAAATATCCCACAATTTTCTATTTGAAAAGCAATATGACTCCTTCTTGATCTATGAAAGGAAAAGGGCCACCTAGCTTCAGTCAAATGAGTTTCATACCCTAAAATTTTGCAAAGGTAAAAGCCAAATGGGAATTTCAATTTTCATTAAAAAAAGAAACACCAATGTATTTTTTCTGCCAAACCAAAACATCAGAAATACTATTTGGAGTTTTAAAAAAACAGCAATTGGGGAGAATCAGATTTCCGCTGATTGATGGTGTGCAGAAACTCCAGATTCCACATCTTCCTCTGTTTTCTGATTATTTCTTTTTTCAATCAGACTGAATCAGACAATCAACAGAATTCATCATAACATACCACCAAGACATTTATGGAATCTAATCTCTTTCAAACAGCAAGGCCTCCAATATTAACAACAATCAGAACTTCTGCACCAACTTCAAAACAGCTGGAAAAACACTTTTTTTACAGTGATTACACAAAACAGCTCTATTTTGACGTTCTTCATCCAGTCATGCAATGACTATGATGAACCAATAACCAAGGTCTGTTGTCCCAGAATTAACAATCCTTCCCTATGAAAATTGAAGCAAGCCTCATGTACGCCCCTTAGATGACATAACAGGACAGAGCCCACCTATTTCCAATCATATTGTAAGTGTTTTACAGAGACACAAGCTATACATATCCGGTATGCTGTGAATTAGCTGGAAGTGACATATTTGGACACGTTTGATATCTATAAACTGTACTATAACAATAACACTGCATCAGGAGCTGCCACAACGGACATACCTGACCCACTTACATCTTAATAACAAAAAGCCACATTTGGATAGTTGGTGAACATGTCGCTCTGTGGGATCTGCACACCAACACACACACACCCCTCAATGTACACGCTCAACAAAGCCAAAATTAACTCAGCGAGCTGCATGCCAAACCACAATAGAGCAAGAACATCTCCCCACTTACCTTGCTGAGAGGAGCGGTAAGATCCCAATGGCCTCTGAGACATCATGCTGTTTCCTTGACTGCCCTGACCCATCATGCCCATTGCCTGCTGTCCCTGATAATGTTGGCTCCCAGCCTGGGCTGAGGAGTAGAGTGGGTTGGCGGATTGTTGGTGCATCATGGAGGCTGGGAAGGAGCTGGGATTAGTGGGGGAAGAATCTCCTGCATAATAGTCAGTCCACATGTTGGCATTGAACACACAGCATTCTCATATGTGTACCTGGCACAAAGGTGTGCGATTAGGCAAATAAATCAATGTAAAGAAGTTCCACGGGGATCAGGACACAGGGGGAGGTCTAAAAAGTCCCACAGCTGCAAATGTTCCCTCAAAAAAATCCCTTTAAAAAAATGCTTTCAAGAAGTTGCTTAGAAGCATATATGCAAAAAAAAAAGGCCAAGGGGAGTTGAGTCATAGACAAATATGCAGTTAAAACAAATAGACATACAGAAAGAGAATGGCTGATTCTCAGGTAAAAGAGCCGGATAGGATGACTCGAAAGCAAGAAAATAGAACACAGGACACCTTTTCTGATGAACTGAATGTGGAATTTAAATACTGACTGCTGTCCATCTCATAGTGAAAAGTTTTTTTACATAATACTACACAAAGACATGCATCGATAGTGCTTTTTACACAGTATATGTGCAAAAAGCCAGTTCATTGGGCACCGATGCACCCATGTACCATTAGAGATTAAGGATTTTTTAGTGGCAATAACAATCTCAGTGTTCAATCTCCTCTTTATTCTAAAAGCTATGTCCAGGATTTACAAAAATGACTAATTGTTCAAAGTTCACAAGGATTTCCTTCTGTCATGTTTTAATTAGCTTGGCCAAGAGCAGATGGTAGGAAGTCTATATATTATAAAACAAAATCATGAAACTGCTCATAAAACAATGAATTCTGTAAGTGTTCCAGGGCCTGTTAAGTGTTATCTATGACTTATCACATTCATCTAACATTGATAATCTACTGTGTCCCTTATGGTATTATTCTCTGTAGAAAATTGAATATTTGCGTTCTTTGCAATCACATTGAAGTTTGTCTTTTTGTTTTCTCACAATTGCCAAACCTCTGAAAATCTTCCTCTAACCAGTTGCAAAGTAGCAAAATGTTCCACCAGCTCTTTCATTTCTACATTTCTTGAAAGTCAAGATGAACTCATAATAAAACATTTTAAAATTAAATTAAGAAAATAAATCAATTAAAAGATGAGCTCATACTTTTATGAAAGAGGGAAACATGACATTTTCATCATTTGATATGCTATCTCTGTGAATAGAATCATGGTTTATAAGAACGGTGATGCATACATCCAGGTTCTACATCAGCTTATTCCAATTCTGAGTTGTGGGATGCATGTTTAGCTTTATGTGGGAGGAAGCTGAGACACCTGCAAAGAAACCATGCGTCCAATGTGAGAACATGCTAACTCCAGGCAGAAAGGCCCTACCTTAGACTCAAACTGGAAACCTTCCTCGTGTGAGGCGACAGTGCTAATGATCCCTCCACCCTCCTGTCCCACATTTGCAAAACCTTGTTTGGTTTTTGTTAACATTTAACACAGCATTCCAATTTGTTTAAGCATCCCTGTATTGAAGTAGCCCAATTCCTACTCTTTGACTCTTTCCTGGCTCACCTTGGCTGGACTGCATGTTGAGGTTGTTGCGGGAGGAGGAGGAGGAGGAGGAGGAGGAGGAGGATGAGCATGTGGCAGAAGAAGAGGAGGAAGAGCCATAAGCAGGCCCATGGCCGTGGTTCATGCTGCCCTGGGAGGAGGGAGCAGCGTGGTTGTAGGCGGAGACCAGGCTACCATAGCTGCTGGTGGGGGGCGCAGCCGGCTGCACCTGAGCAGTCTGTGGGTGCATGGGGACATGGCTGGGGCCTGACGACACACATGCACAGTCAGAGCAGCCGGCACATGTTCCCATGTGGTGCCACATCATTTTCAAAGTCCATTCCCACATTCAGTTCATCCTTACATGAGCCTTTGGTGGCTGCGAAATTTGTTGAGTGAGGAATGTTAAGGAAAGGGAGCAGAAATCAAGATAGCTGAAAGCAAATCTGGCTATATATATATCTAAACAAAAAATGAACAGATATCTGCAAGCACTGTGGGGAAAGAGGAGATACTGATGCAGGTGGAATGTGGTTACATGCGGCAAAGGCCAGGATGCAAAAAAAAGACGAGTCAGATGGCGTAAAAGCAAACTACAGCTGTATGTCTCCACAGAGGCTTTTCTGGCTTTATGACAAAAGACGCTAAGGTGGACCAAAGTTTACCAGGGATGTTGACATTTGTAAATAACTCTTACCATTGGTCATTTGGCTCTGTATCATGGATGTGGGGGGCAGCCCTGGTGCCATGTTGTCATTGAGGTTGCTCGGAGCATGTCCCCCACTCTGGCTCATGGACGTATTGGGAGTTGGAGGCTTAAATGAAGGGACATGTATCAATTGCAGAAGCAGTCTCAACTGTATGATTATGAATTTCTCGTCTTTTCCATGCGTCATTAGACATATTTATTTCCCCCATTAATACACAACACTGCAGTCTTCTGAAACAGCATGACAAACTTACCGCAGGTAGTAGAGACTGCATATTTTGATTTGAATCTGCTATTGTGGCCAAGTAAACAAGATTCCTGTGCAGAATCTGCTGATACCTGCCAAAGGTTAAAGTTTGCATAGCTTAAGATTTGCAAAATGTGACCTTTACAAGCCACTAGAATAATACATGGAACTTACTGTGTGCATTCTGCTGCCTTGCCTTTGCTTTGGTAATCCATAATACACTGTATTAAATGGTGATTTTCATCCAGCATCTTTAGGAAACAAAAAACAAACAAAAAAACAAGTAACATCTCAAATGAATGGCTTAAAGTCACCTTTAAAATCCTTTATGAAGACATAACTGTCCTGGATTCTTAAAGCTTTTACCAGTCAAATTTGAGTCTCCTTTAAAATTGACACTGAAACCAAGTTATAAAGAGATGTGCAATATGTTTTTTTTAAATGCCACCTGCTGGAGCTAATTTCTCCATATAACTTTTTCTATTCCATTCTATTTTGCCTTGTAGTTCTTGTAACCCACGCTTAGTCCAATTTGATTCGACTTATTTTTGTGTTAATTTCAGGAAACTTCCAAACACTCTTAAACCCTGTTGCTCTTTCAAATTCCTAGAATCAATTCAATTTTAGGATGATTCCTAAATAGTATCGCTCGTTTGACACAATCTGTGGGAATGAAAGCATCACCAGGAAGCAGAGACTCAGCCTGAGCTCTGAGTCTTCGCCCACATCACGGCCGAGGCTTTGTTTGGTTCGCACCTTCATTCGGCTGTAACGCCACAATACCAGTTGCCATTTCTTTGATGTTCTCCACAGGCTACTTTCCCAGCACTGGAGGTTCATCGCTCACACCATCCACGTTGAAATATCTAAATGTAAACGGCACGACGCTTGGGTTTTACCTTTTGAATGGTTTGCTGTGTCACCTCCCCTTTACTCCTGGGGCGCGCCGATGAAAACGCCACGGACATTTTGTCATATGGGAAATAAAAGCGCTCCTTTTATTCTAATATTTATTATCTTGAGCGCAGACCTCTATTTGGTTGCATAGTTCTCAATCATCGGGAAAGATTAGGGGGTGGGGGGGGAACTGTCATCACCATTTATATGTCGGCAAAGCGGACAACTTGGGATTCACTTTTCAAATCTAGACAACAGGAAAGAGGATATTTTGGATGATGATTTTAGTGAAATGCGTCCAATTTATTGTATTGACATTAAACGGACGTGTAAACGGAACATCGATCTCCCTCTGTCTTTTGGTACAGCCCAGACAGTAAGTAGCCTACCACTTGCCCTCTTCAATAGGTACAGGGCATCCTCTGATTCTTGACTCCAGACAGTGGCACATGCGTTCAGCGCGCAAAAGCAGTGGGAAATAAATGTTTGAAAAGTAGCTTTTTGTTGAATTTTCTTTTGCCCCATGCACAACATTTATACTAATATCATGCAGGAGATAACGGCAGACACTTTTTGTTCTACATTGTGAAAGAAAGACGCTCTAATTTGAGACTGTGGACCTTACCTTCCCTTATATTGGGAGCGTTAAAGAGAGCGAGAGAGAAAGATAAACTGTATGAAAATTGTGATGCCTTTAAGGCCAAAAGGAATGTTCCTTTAAAAAAAAGAAAAACCTTTCCCATGCACACCGCTCCACGCTATAAAAAAGGAGCATCAGCAATAGTCAGTAATAAAAACTAGCCGAATATGTGAATAAATAAAGTGATGCAGACAAAGAAATGTTTAGTTCATTTTATGCATACATTTTGCATCATTTTCAAATGAAAGAAATCAAGCTTGGCAAAGGCCAATTTACTTTTTTTTTTTTTTTTCAAACCCTCTAACAAATAAAAGGACCCATTTTAAAGAAAAACACTGAAATGATCACCCAAATTCAAAATGAAAAACTAGTCCTGGGATTACGTGCAGGATAAACTTAAAGTGGGAGAAAAATAAAATAAATCCATATAACCAAAAGTTTCTGGTGGTCTAAACAGCAATCCCATGAGGAATTAAATTCAAAATATAGATCGCCTTGATGTCAAACTCCACAATTCACAGCTGTCCACTCCAGGTTCTCTTGGACGGTAGAGCAGCACCTCTTGCCCTTCGGCCTCCGAAGCCTTGGCCCCTAAAAAAACGTCCAGGTACCCCAAAAGTCTCCAGGTTGCGTTTCCGCTCCTCTGCCCATGTTAATCTGAAACCACCAATTGATAGAAAGACCAAACTAACCAGATATCGCCAGAGATTTTATATTTTGAACAAAAGACGGCCACTGGATCACCTTAATCCAGCGTCTGATGAGATGTTGTCGAAGAAAGACTTGGCTTTGTTGTAGTAGCATTTTGGCCCGAAATGATCATTCTCTGCAGTCAAGTCCATCCCTTCTTTCAACTTCTCTTCAAGATCAAAAATTCCATCTGCAAAAAAGCATATACTGCAACAGTGACAGACTGGAGAGCCAAAATAAATGCATGCGTTTTAAGTGGACAATGTACATTTACTAATTTCTCAATAGCAATTTTTAACGATGGCTTATGGTTCTAATTTCTGTTACATTGATGCTGAGCCACTTTTAGTATTAACAAACCCTTTATATTTATTCTTTCCTGCACCTCCCTCTCGAGCTCCTCCTTAATAAACTGTGCATTTGAAGAATCAAAGTCAAAGTCGGTCTCAAACTTAAGAACTGGAGATGGAACATTAGCCGCCATGATCTGGCCTCTACGGCGGGTCCTGCGTCTTCTGGCACCTATGGGTCAATAGAAAAAGAAAAAAAAAAAAAAATTGAGAATAAGCATTTTAATCCTTTAAAAAAATAAAAAAAAAAAAAAAAAAAAAAGTAGGATTTTAAATTTTCCAGTACGTGATCTAAAAATATTACCTTGCCTTCGCCTGGGTGCCGGCCTATTTTCAATGTCCTGCTGCCTTGTTTCCTGCAATCCTGCAGATTGAGGCACACCTGGGCCAGACTTAACTTGAATTTCATATGAAAAAAATAAATGAAAAGTAATTCTACACTCACTTATTTCACACCCACACAATTGAACCATCATTTCTCATGAAGTTAAAGCAGTCAAGTTTCTTTATGTTGGACTTGATACATAGAGCCCTGCAGGCTTACTCATGGCCCCTGTGTCCCTTTGAGTCATGGCATCATCCCTCCTGGGTCTTTGGGGCCTCCTCCTGTCCCACTGCTGCTCCTGAGGCACAAATAAACCTCTCCTCTGCCTGGGTCTTTCCAATTGAATAGTTTGAACAGCCTTTTCTACCATGGGCCCCCGTCTAGCATGCATGTCTGCGATCACAGGGCCTGCATCAAAATGCAATATACAACTAACACAGGAAGAAAAAAAAAAAAGGTTTGTGTCAACTTGCTTAGAATAAATTAGTTTGACTTACCAAGGCCAAGACTTGCAGCATACTGTTGGCCTAGCACAGAGCTGGCAGCCAGCGGATTGTAAGCAGGCGGCATCCTAAATGGACTAAATGGCCCCAGTGTCGAGTAGATACTTGATGAACCTGCACTGGATGACTGAAAGAGACATTACAATTTCACCCAAAGCCTGAGCTAAGGGGTAAGAACAAATCATTTCATAATGTACTTGTACTATTGCAGGATCAGGAGGTAGGCCATGGTATGATCTTGGAGGTTCACACAGTGCAATATCTTTGATATCACTTCCCCGGAAAGTGATATATTCATATACATCATCCTTGGGCGGTGTTGGTCTGTCGGTGGGTCGCCCCTCCGTTCCAAAACATTTAACTAAGTAGAAGAATATTCCTGTTAAAGCACCACTGTTTGATAAAATGTGTATTCAATTAAAAATAAATAGATGGAAACGAAACGTACCTTTTGCCAGCACAACTGTTGAGTTTATTTTATCAATTGTATACAAAATACCCTCATAACGATTCTGTGCTTTGGAAATTAAACCTATTTTACAACCAATGTATGGCTTTGTTGAAGCCATTGCTGAATAGTGATCGCGAGACACGCCGTGGATTTCTCGCTTGACTTACTACACATGGCACTATTCAAGACACGAAGGAACCGGAAACAATTTGTACGAATTGTAAAATGCCTTGAAACCACGCCCATTAATTGAGACCTAACTCACCTGACTTCGGCACGGCAATTACCGTCAGTCTCAGTAACTCCCAAACCTATCCCCGGTGACATACAATATTCTACAGTGAGTACGATTATTTTGATAGTATTTTAGGTCTTCTTTTGTGGGCCTTATGAGTTTTTTTTTCCTGTATAGATCATTTATGGTGAATATCCTGCAATATAGCGGGGAGAAAAAGATTTAAAAAAAAAAAGAATTAGATGATAATTTAAAAAAGCACTTTTAGTTTTTTGCCTAGATGTGTAACTACGATATGGTTTGCTCATTTTTTCATCCAGGGTAAATGAACCATGTGAAGATATTGATGGGTCTGCTTCTGACTTCCTCGAAAAAAAAAAGAAAAATCTATACGCAGCCATTTTAAGCCATACAGGGTACAAGATAAACATCAAACGCATAAAAAATGCTTCCACACAGTCTGGAAATTTGTAAGTGTATGTTGAACTGCATATAAACTCAGGGAGCCTCCTTGTTGACCAAGGTGTCATCATTCAGTCGTCAAAACCGACCAAGTTCGTCTTCGCCTGCACCGCGAACACGTAACGCTGTTGGTGAGTAGTCTGAGACTCATGACCATTTGTTCCAGCTTTTATTTTCTTCCAGGAACCAATCACAAGGTTTGGTGGGCAAGCGTCATGGAAGGAGATCCAATCGGCGCATGCGTCGAAAGAACGAGCGTAACAAGGCAAAGATGGCGGCGGGCTCGGATTTGCTGGATGATGTTTTCCTCAACAGAGAGGTAGACGAAAAAGTAGTTAGTGAACCAGTCAGATCTCCGGAGTCCAATGTAAAGGTAACAAGTGACGTTAACTCAACGGCTAAGATTCAGTTTGCTTTAAATCACGCCGGCAGTTCATCTGCAGGCGCTAATTTTAATGTTCAGGGCAGCGAAATGGGACTTTCACAACAAGAACTTGCTAAAGCAGGTAAGATAGCTTTACACTTGTCTTAGCTAACTGTAGCTCGTTTTGGTTTCTTTCCTTGAGTAAATGCGGTTATGCGCTTCATTTCACTTGGCATTTCCCCGTATCTAATGCAAATCGGACAGTTGTTCGCCACTCCCCTTGTTTTCACATGTTTACGCTGCTGTAGGGACGGGAGTTCAAGGAGGTGTCAGTAAGAGTTCGGGGTCCCCCGGTTCGAGCATGGATGAGACAGCTGGCATCACCCAGGCGGCTAAACAGAGCACCACAGCCTCTCCGAGTCAGTCCAAGCCGGCCACGGCGAGCTCAGTTGTTGCAGTTGTACCAGATGCAACACCTGGAGTTGAGAAACACGAACCGAGCGAGAGTGAAAGTTTGAATGGAAGCGCCGCGGCGATGAACTGTCACAACCCCGGAGGAGGACCAGCTGACGCCTCTCAGACAGCTGCCACACCTGTCAACGGACCCGTCTCTTTTAGTAAAGACGTCGCCGGAACACCTAGCACGATTATTCGAACTACTTTGAGTGCTCACAATGCTGCCTCTCAGCTTTCTGTGAAAACTGTCCCCACCGTCACCCTGGTGAGGCCACCTATGCAAACTTCCACCAACACCTCTCCAAGTGCAAGCAATCCAACCACTGTTTTAACGTCCTCGCCACACGTCAGCATTGCCAACACGGCCGGCTCCCCCGTCAACAAAAGCGACCCCTCTAAAACTGTAATGATCACCGGGGCACACGTCATGGCTTCCACCGTTGCAACGGGGACCACCGTGAGGAGCCCAACTGTTTTACAGAACGTGAGAACTTCCGTTCCTTCAACATTTGCTGCCACTCCAGCTGGTGGAGTAAGAGCCATCGCTCCGCAGGTGTTGGCTCCTCGGCTCACTCAGCCTCAGCAAAATGTCCAGAATATTCAGCTTCCTCCAGGTAAACTGACTTTAAACTGTCTTTTAACTGCTGTCGCCAAACACAGGCCCACACTTACTTAATGTTTCCCTGAGGGGTGTTATAGGCAACATATTGTTTCAGAATTTCTGTAGTAAGCAGAGATTACATTTAATTGATTGTACTCTGAGGTCACAACCACGAGATTAGACATGGACAAGGTTCTAACAGCACAGTAGATGAAAAGCCTCGAGGACAGTCCACCAACTTATTCCAGCTAAAGTGTATCAGAGGAGCATTTTGTTGCAATCTATTGAGTCCTATGTCTTCGTCCTATCAGAGTTACTAGAATGCTGTTAACCTTTCAGCAGCTATTTACTTTCTATCTCTTAGGGTTCCTCGGCTATATTTGTGAGTGTGTTTTTAAACTGAAACTGTGAACAGTTTAATCAATTGTATAAATACTCAGCTGATAGCTCAAGGTTTGCTCTGGTTTAACCACTAAATTGGTTAAATGAAGGACTGATTTAGGTTTATGACAGTGGAAGTCTGAAAAGAGTTGCTCAGATGTGGTAACCCAGTGTTCAGGGCTGTTGCATCCAGACAGTGTGTGGTCCAGACCAAAATAAGCCACAACAAACAGATTAAAAAAACCCAACTCATTTCAGCCACAGCATTCAATGACACGAGTCCCTTAGAATCCATGAATGGAATGAAGGCAGTTCCTTCTGCTTGTCACATCTGTTTGTGTAATCTGTTGCAAATTATGATGGAGTTCAGACACTTATTTTCTCAAAAATCAGTTGTTTGATAGGCTGGTTACACCACCTGGCTGCAGTGAGAAGCACAATACTGGCTTCAGTGGCAGGATTAAAGCTTTACTCGGGGATGCCCCAGTTTAGTAAATATTTCTAGCATGCCGCTATATGATAAGTTGTAACAGAAATGTTTTGGTTTTGATTATCATGTTTGTTACTCATTGCGGACAGATTTATTTTCCCAAAGGCATTTAATTTTTTAGATTCTTTTTTACTTTTTTAATACTAATCATTTGTCCGACACACCGTACATGTCTAAAGCTGTACCTTTACTGATGAGGACATGGAGGCTGTGACTTTGACATGTCAACTCTCTGGGCAGGCATGGTCTTGGTCCGCAGTGACAGCGGCCAGCTGCTGATGATTCACCAACAGACCTTGGCTCAGATGCAAGCTCAGTCGCAGTCGCAAAGCGCCATGACACCACGACCGGCGACCCCCGCCAGCACTCCACCTGTTCAGATCACCTCCCTACAGGTAGCATGTCTACCAGAAGGACACAAAAACACGATACACTTTTTTAAAATCATAATTAGCACAGATTGCGATAAAATATAGCTGCTTTGATCACAGCCTGATTTGTTCTGATATTACTAATGTTAAAATAACAGAAATATGGTGTAAATCTTTTGTTGCAAATGAACAAGTTTGGAAAGGATTAAAATACATTTTTCAAAAACGAATTATTATGGTGTAAATTGTGTTTATGATCTGATTTCAAACAGGAAGATAATTTCAATCCATCCTGTAAGAAAAAGAGAAGAACTGATGCACACTGGATTAGTACAAGTGGACTGCTTGAGTTTAGTTATCACCATGTCAGGAGAAAGAATTTCCCTCTGACTGAGCAGCAACACAGTAACAGGGAAATGTCCTAGAAAAGTGTTTTTGTCAAACTGGTCATTTTATGAAAACTCGCTGAATAAAATTAAAACAAAAAAACACATGAATTTTAAAAAAGACTTCAATGGTGTTTATCAGAAGTTGATTCTAAAACAGTATGTGTTTTTCTTAACTATCTCACGTTGTCTTTAACTCAAACCACACATTTAAAAAGGAATTATCTGAGACACTACCAGGACAATCAAAGCATCTGAACAGTTCTTTAAGATGCTTTTTTTAACAAAAAAAAATCAATGAAGCTCTTTTAAAATGTGTTTTATCCTCATTCTACTCTATTTATTTGAAATGTTATTTTTCAAGCCTTTACATGTGATGACTTCTACATCTTTACATCTGCTCTGCAGACTCCAGGTGCATCGGTGCTGACCCGTGCTGTTAACCCCACCACCATTATTAAACAAGTCCCTGCAGCCCAAAGCACGGTGACCACCACCACCACCCTGCAGAGGCCTCCTGTACTGCAGGTAACTGTCACAACTCTTCTGGATCGCTTTTTTTTGTTTGGGAGACATATGCCATCATCAACCTGTGCCTGCTTTAGAAAGAACTTGAGACCTGTCTGGCTTTACTCAGTAAGACCCCTCTGACATGATAGTCTAGAATCTGCAAAAACAGCATGCTTTTGTTCTTAGTTAGAACGCTGTCACACAGTCCTGCGCCACATTTCAAGCTGCCATTTTTGTTGTTTTTTAATGATCCTCACATTCACGCAGTCCTCTTTCCTCCGTCAGCATGTTGATTATCACATGTCTTTTAGCATTTGCTTCTGCTTCGGTATAGCTTTTAACATTTCTATGTTGACCAGTCAGGACTGGTTTCATTCACTTATGCGTTAGAGAAAAACATGCCCAGAATCTGCCAGTTGCTACATTTTTAAGCCCTTTTTCAGGTGCTGTCTCACTTAAAAAAAACACTTCTTTAGTCACTTCTCACTTGAGAATTCCACATGTTTGGATTGTTATCCACAATTCTGGGGAGGTTTTTAAAATATTTTATTAGCTATTGTTGTCTGTTTATTAGATTGTTTTTCTTTGGTTTCTGACCGTGTCTTTTTCACTGGGACGTAGGAACCTAATGGGATCCAAAAAGTTCTGAATGGACCCAATTCATTTTCATTTTAAATGTGCACATTGTACACTGTGCAACGGTGTGTTTGTGTCTGTGTATGTGTATTTGTGAGACAGCAAAACCAATATATGTTTTTGAAAAATAAACTACTTTATGATAATTGTATTATGTTTTTGTAAATGATCAGTACACTTTTCCCAACACAATAGACCCAGAGCAGCTATTACTGAGGAATTTGTCCATCGTTTCATGCAGAACACCATCATGCTGGGAGGAACTGCCACCGCCACAGGGCAGCCCTTCGGAACGCCCACCACAGTTCAACCTGCAGCGGTCACCCAGAGGGCGGGGCCCCTCGGGGCAGCGGGGACAGCTGTCACTCCAACACCGGTCACAGCTGTAAGGCTCTAATTTGTACGCCTTTGCCTGTCTACTCCGTGGTAGTAAGTGACGGTCAGCTGCAGACTGTGTTTTGCTCGTAGGAAACGTTGGAGAACGTGAAAAAGTGTCGAAACTTTCTGTCGACGCTCATCAAACTGGCATCCAATGGGAAGCAGTCGTCGGAGACCACGGCGAATGTTAAGGAGCTGGTCAAGAGCCTGCTGGTACTTTTCTCTCTCAGCATTTGTCTGCTCTCTTTGCGTCCTTTCTTTTTCTTCTCATCCACCCTCTTTACTTATGTATTTTTCGACAGGGGGGAAAGATTGAGCCTGAGGATTTCACCAGTAGGTTGTACCAGGAGCTAAACTCTTCACCCCAGCCGTACCTTGTACCTTTCCTTAAGGTGAGATTCGTGAAGAACCCGGCGACATGTGCTGAGGGTTTTTAGTTGGTAAAAGATCTGGAGCATATGCAGGAACACATTAAAAAAATGTTTTTAGACAGCGTCTAAACTCTGCTGTGAATATGTTCTGTGAGGTTTATGAAAACAATAAATTTTATTTCGAATTTACATTTAGGAGGTGTCTCGGCTCTCTTAGCATTGGGTTTGTCTACCTTGATTTTGTTGGCCTATAAAATGTTAATCAAAGTAGAAAAAAGATAAGTCACAACAGAGGTGTGCAGCTCGACATAGCTTAGTTATATATAGGTGCTTTGGAACGGGGTTATCTATTGTCTGTTGAATGTTTTGAACAATGTCTCTGAAAGAGAAGCTTATTTTATGGTATGACTCCATTTTGATGCAGCCTGGAGGGATAGTGTGGGAGAGTTGAGTCAAGAGGAAAGGATCATGAGAAAAAGAATTGACACTGGATGATCTGGCTGTGAGCCTCATCTGTAAAAGTCAAGGGTGGAAAGCAGAAGCTAATTGGAGTTATGGCTCTTTTAAAAATTTTTTTTACCAGTATGTCATGATTGCGTAGTGAAAAGGGAGCAGTGACATTCTGAATAAGTCAAAACAACTGGTTTAGTCATTGGCACTTAGTTCTACTTATAGATGTTTTCATTTGTGGGAAGCAAAAAAAAAAAAAAAGCTTCCCTAAATTTATTATTATTATTTTTTTGGTTATATTTCCCAAAGATATATGTGACAAACCAGATATTGGTATGATTCAGCCGTGGGGCATAGTGCAGCTAATTGAGCATGTTTAATTAGTGTCATGTTTTTAAATCTTACGCCTGAAGAAACGTTTTTTTCTGGTTGTCAGTACCTTTGAATACATTGTGTCGCTGTAAAGTAACTCTTACAACATTCAGGAGTTTTGTCACCATCATTACAAGTGTTGTGACGGATGTTTTCCCCCAGGTACGACTTATAATTTATGCAAATAAAAAAATCCAATGAAGATTTAATTATCTAGAATTGAAGGACCAAGTAAAAATAGAAGTTCAGAGAAAAACCTGTGGATGGGTTCATGATAGAAACAGCACCATAGCTGCCACCGTTCAGCGTGTTGGTTCCCCTGTGCCTGCAGAGAAGTCTCCCCGCGCTGCGCCAGATGACCCCGGACTCGGAGGCCTTCATCCAGCAGAGCCTGCTGCCTCAGCAGAACAGCCAGCCCGCCGCCACAGCCTCCACAGCCCTCACTGCTGTGGTGCTGCGGCCTCCTCTCTCCACCAGCGTGGCCACATCCACAGGCACCGGCGCCACCAAAGCCACGGTCATCAGCCTCACTCAAACGCCTCACAGTAAACCCGGACTGGTAATTTGAATAACACGCGCGCACTTTGCGTTTTAATTCCATCCAGTGCTTTTTATTGCTCTCTCTGTTCTTTGCCCCTGAATGTTTCGATTGTGCCCCAGCAACAGATGAGGCCGCAGGTGACGCTGGCTCAGTCTCCCACGGTAACCATCAGAGGACAAACTCCGAGTCGGATCATCGTGGGTCAGCCACAGGTGGTCAAGCAGCTGTCAGCAGGTGATTTATACATATGAAAAAAATCAGTGGTCAGCAGAAGAACAGTAGAAAGTGCATGGGAATGGATTTGTGTCAATTTTTTTTTTGACACACCTGTACAGCACAAGTGGATGAACGCATGAATTCTGACTGCAGAAACGTGAGCTTGTGTTGATGTTTATGGCTTTTAGTATCAACTGTGAAGCAGACGTTTGCTCCAGGGGTGCGAGGAGTCCAAGTTCTCTCTCAGGCTTCTCTGACTGATGCTCAGAAGAACAAGATGAAAGAAGCCGGAGGGGGAACTTTCAAGTTAGTGACACATTCAGATCTCATAAGAATCTGTTAAATACAGCAGTTTCAGCATCCTTAGGTTGATATACATTCAAAGATTTGAAAAGATTCTAAAACTTTTAACTATAATTCTCTTGCACATCTTAAAATTGTGCTGATGGCATTTTAAAATTGCGCTGATTTAAAACTGATTCAAAAAAGAATTTGAATAAATGTCACAGAGTGTACTTTTCTTTAGTCGAAACCACCTTAGTATTCAAGGCAAATTCCATTCTTTGGTTCAGAAAGGTAGATGTGTATATTTTTTCATTGGCATTAGTCTGTATTGAATATCTTTCCAGTTATTTTTTCCTGAGGATTTTTATGACGATCGAGCTTCACAAATCTTTAAATCTTGTCCTGCCTATCGGACATTACTCCCAGCTAAACAATACCAAAAAATAAGAGTGGACACTTAACAGGTTTGCTCATCTTACCTCCCTTGTGTCTTTTATTTGAAGCAGGGATGACGATGACATCAATGACGTGGCCTCCATGGCAGGGGTCAACTTGTCTGAGGAGAGTGCCCGTATCTTGGCAACAAACTCTGATCTCGTCGGCATGGTAAATCGCTCCTGTAAGGACGAGGCCTTCCTCTCCACTTCGCCCCTCACTCGGATAGCTCTGGAGATAGGTGAGAGAAAGTGTGCCTGAGTGTGCAGCCGGCTGCCGCTGTTTCTGGCTTCAGTACATTCAAACCTCTGTTGATACAGGGAAGAAGTTTGGCGTGAGCGAGCTGGGCGCAGATGTCATCGGCTACATTTCTAACGCTACGCAGCAGAGACTGATGACCATCTTGGAAAAAGTGTCGCAAGTCGCACAACAGAAGAACGCAACTTTTAAGGTGACGATCGATCATTGTTAGGAGTTAGGGCAGTTGACCAGCTTACCTTGCTTTAACGGCTGTGTCTCTGTTTGGCGCCTCACACCCTGCCACCTTCAGGAGGATGACCGGTACCAGCAGGTCAGCGACGTGCGAGCTCAGCTCAAATTCTTTGAGCAGCTGGATCACCTGGAGAAGCAAAAGAAGGAGGACGCGGAGCGAGAGATCCTGCTGAAAGCAGCCAAGGTAACAAGGCTGCATCCTGCCAAAGGAGCCTCCATTCTGCTTTATTTGTACCGACCAAGGTTTTTTTTTTTTTCTAAACTTTTGGAATTTAGAAAAAAGCAGCAAAGAAAAACAATGAACCGATCATTTTCCTTATGGGAGCGGATACCCGCTCTGTCAACAAAAATCTTTTATTAAAGATTCATTAAATGATTCCTTTCTTTTCATTTTACTATGTATTACAACTTACATTGGTACAAAATAGTGTGCTATTTTATAAAATAAAATCAAATAGTAGCTGAAATACATGAAAGAAGATAGAGATGTTAAAGATGAAATTCCCATAAATGGATGGTTTGTGGATGATTTTGCACCAAAAAGCATATCTCCATCATGTAGATCCAATCTGAGAAAAATCCCAAAGTCATTTGTGTGTGAACGTCCCGGTTGATGTGCCAAAGGCTGCAATATTTAAACAAGGACACTGCTCAGGAAGAATCCCTCATACCATCGTAATTGGAGGGGCCAACTGAAGGATCTCGGATCGGCACCATTAATAAACATTTCCTTGAGCGAACAGACTTGCAGACTACGAATGAGGGAATGAATAAAACAGCTGATTATTGAATTGAACATATCCGTCCTGTAATATTAAAACGTCCACTGTTCTGCAGTCTCGGTCACGACAAGAAGACCCTGAGCAACTGCGACTCAAGCAGAAGGCCAAGGAGGTAAGCATCCGTAAAACAGAGTGACCACAGATCCTGCTGATGAGCGTGGCTAATCTTTGTTGTGGTGTTATTCCAGATGCAGCAGCTGGAGCTGGCTCAGATCAGGCAGAGAGAAGCCAACCTAACAGCGCTCGCAGCCATCGGCCCGAGGAAAAAACGGAAAGTGGACTCTCCTGTAAGGGGCGCAAGCGCAGAGGTGAGGAATTATAGTGCCGAGGAGGAGTGGAACTTTCATATTTATTTCAACATGGTTAAGACGGGCTGTAACAGACAAACCGTTTTTATTTTTGCACCGTTTGGTCCTCCAGGGCTCGGGGTCTGGGCCCTCCCAGCCCGGCAGCTCCAGCGGAACAGGCTCCAGACAGTTCATGCGACAGCGCATCACCAGAGTCAACCTGCGGGACCTGCTCTTCTGTCTGGAAAATGAAAAAGAGAGCAGTCGCTCACAGCTGCTCTATAAAGGCTTCCTCAAATAAAGCAGAAACTAAAAGGAGCGGTTTGAAGGAAGCGCCTGACTGTCATCTTTGACCTTTTACTGACATTACCTTTCTGATCTCCTGAATTATTACAAGGCCTTCCATTTGTTAGGGACAATCCTCTTAAACACAAAGGAGACGCATTCTCTAAAAAGCTTCATCAAGCACGGCCTCTTTCATATTCTGCTCCGACGGCTGATGTCAGTCCTGTCCTTGTGCCTCCCCCCCAGGTTGACTCTTTTGCACCCAGCTACACTCGACTCATGTTCTGCCTCATGCTGCGGACTCCAACCTCAGAGCAGCAAACACTTTGCTAGGAGAGATTTTGAATTGATCCCACATTTTTACGGTATTTTACTAACGCCTGTGGACTGTTTTACAGAAACTAATCTTGTCATCTGTCGGGTGACGACTTCTGTTTGCAACAACTTAAGCCATACGCGTTTGAATGTTTCTCGATTCAATTATCCAACAGTTCTCTCTGGAGTTGTTGGATTAATGTTTGTTTTGTGTGGGTTCTATGATTTAATTGTATTGTCTTGATTAGAGCCACAAACGTATGGAGGTTACTAAAATGCAGGATAGAGTTCAGACAGGTGGAGTTTGATTCAGACTGTAACGCCTTTATTACAGACTTCAGTTACTTAACAATCATGCCAGTAATGTATTTTTTATTTTTATTTTTTAACGTTACGTGTGTAGATATATATTTTTTGTCATCTCAGCCATCAGAGTTTATCATGACAATTGCCAGTGGAACTCCCTCTGAATCCATCTGAGCATCGTTTTCAAAGTAACTGTTACCACTTTTAACATTTGGATATGGCACGAGTAAGATTGCAGCCTTTCTTTAGTGTTAGATTAAGAGACGGGATGAGTAATGGCAAACAATTTGTACTTTACGAAACCTAAAATGTGGATCTGAAGCATTTTCCCTGCCTTGTGTCAGTCAGTGTCACCACAGGGGAAAGATATAATAAGGAGGTTATGCAACAGCAGTGGGAGCTATTATGTTAAAGTCTTTTTTTCTTCTGGATGAAAAGGCATGGAACATTAATCTAAACTGATGAGACAACTCAAACTGAATGTATGGTTGTGCTGCAGTGCAACAATTGGAAAAAGAAAATTGTAGAAATGAATCCCAAAAGTTTAGTCATTCACGTTTGAAGGTTTTTATTTTCATATGAAAGACTAATGGAGACCACATGGGTTTATGATATGTGAGAACTGCACTTGAGTTGTTTAGAAGTAGCTTTTTATTTGTTTAGTTGTTTTGTTCTTTAACAGTCAATGAGGTGAATGTATCCACTTTTTAAGTTTTTATATTCCAAGTATGGAAAGACTTTGGCCTTTTTCATTTTTATGAAAGAAAGTTTATCTGTAAATACCAATGTTTGCTATTATAGATTTATTATCACGTGACACCTTTGAATTTAAGAAAATGTCTTATTTTTCAAATATATAGCTGACAAATGAGACAGTACTTTGCTTTCCTGCCAATATCTTGTACATTTTGCACAGCCATGTTTATATGTAAATATCTAAATTTAAAAGCAAAAGTTTTTAATGACTATTTTATAAACGATTGACAGAAGATGATCTATATTAAAAACAAACCCCCAAAAAGTTATTGTTCTTTTTTATTTTTTCGCCTTTAACTTGTATCTTTTGGAGCTGCCACACCATTCAGTCTTTTTATATTGAGTTTTTTTACTCACTTTTATCATTAGCGACTTTTAAGTAAGAACCATTTGTAACAACACAGTAAAAAGCGGTCTATACATTAATTACTGTGGCTTTTCATATATACAAGAAGTAAACAAATATTAAGTAAGGAATTTAAAGGTCTAAAGATATTCATAGATGAGGTTTTCCAGGGAGCGTTAAGTCTAATAGAGACTTTTTTTTTTTTTCTTTTTTACCTTGTCCTGTTCACCTGTTCTAATAGAGACTTTTTAAGGTACACTGCCTCAGGAATTGGTAGCTTGTTCCATTAATGTTGAACCACAAATGTAAGTAAATCGCAGTGCCAGACTGCATTAATGGGGAAAAAAGCAACGGTTGCAGAGTGTGCACGAGGTTGCGTGCTGGAAGAGCCCCTTCCTTTTTCTGGTGCATAGGCATCAGAAAAATGAAAAGCCCACACAGCCAGTGTTCCCACAGTTTTGTATTCTATAATAATTTTGTTATAAAAGAGACGAAAATACAAGAATGAGAGATCGAGTGGGAGTGAGTGGAAAAGGGTAGGAGAAAGAGGAGAAAAAAAGGTTAAAGAAAGACAATGAAACTTCTGCATGGGTGGAGGGCAGGAAAACAACCAGCAGCCACAAACAAGATGATCAGGAGCCTCTGATAGAAAAGTTAAAGAAACGCACAAATGATCGATAACAAGCCTATGAAAACTATTTATAATCCCTGAAAGTTATCAAATCCAGAGCTATAGCTGGGGTGTCTATAGCTGGGGTGTCGGCGCATGTGTGTGTGTGCACACAAGATATTACCTGGTTTATTTTGACTGTTGGGCCGCTGTCACTCAGGAGGAAAGAGCAGTTGCCTGCTGATCAGAGGGTCAGCTGTTCCACTCCATGCTCCTCCAGGTTCATTTAGAAAATCTTTGGGCAAGGCTCTAAACCCAAACATGTATGAATGTGAGTGCCACATGGAATGTAAAGCACTTTTAAAGCGCAGTTTGATCGGAGAGGAGTCGGTCTCCAGAGCCGGTCATTCAGAGGCAACCTTGGGGGATAAAAAGAAACACAAAGAAGCCCGGCAGGCAGCCAATCGCAGGAGAGCCACCCTTCAGGCCGAGGCCCCACTGGGAGCCTGCTAGTCCAGGAGGACCACCCCAGACCGATGTTGTTGGAGAGCCACAACTGCCCCATGTCCAAGGTAGAACGTTTTTTATTTTCTCCTATTTTAGTTTCTACTGTGTCTGATTTGATTCTGATATAATTTCCTCCAAAACTTATGACACAAATTTTACAAACAGTAAAAATAATCTGCAGTCACCAAGTTAAACCTGGCCTGGTCTGCTTATTGGATCATTTTGTGAATAATCTAATACCTCGAGCACCTGCTCAAGGTTTCAAGAAAGGACTTGTTCTGGAGAACAAACAAAAAATGAGGCCACACGACCCCTAATTCTTCTTTTAATTTCACACAGAACACAAAGCTGTGCTAGAGAAAAAAAATAAACAAAGCATTTCTGAGATCTTAGCCATAATTTATTCCTTCTCTGCCCTTTTGTGATAATTTTCAAGCTCTCTGAGTACTTGAATATGTAACTGGATGGTTAAAACACTTATCATCCAAATCCCTTTCTTTCTTTTCCAAACATTCCATCCAAGATTGTTCAGTTGGAAGGAGAGGAATTTGGAATCTCACAAGCAAATGCAGAAAACAAATTCTCAAAGCTCGTGAAAATGTAGATTTCTGATTAGGAATGAATAAATGTCAATGTAAATGAAAAAACATAAAGCATTCTGTTTTTCATTTCCTGTGCCCCAATTTCTAATGAATTTCTCTGTTTCAAAAAATGACTATCTCTTCCAATGCTTTTATGCATGCTCTCCAAAGTGTGTTAACTACTAGACTCTCGGGTCTCTGGCTGTCTCTTTTCCCCTCTCTTTCCTTCTTTACGCACACTTATTCCTATCATTTTGAGCACTCTGTTCTCAAAACCCATTGAGCATCACAGCAAAGTGAAAATGATTAGGCTAGGTCCTCAGTCAAATAGCTAGGAGCCTGTTCCAACTTGATAAGACCAAACACTAATTATTTTTTCCCAAGACTGACAGATGATCAAGGGATGTTTTTCTCAACGGAAAAAGCGATTTTGCTGGAGCTAACTGTAACTGACATGTATATCTTACTACTTATAGATGAATAACATTATTGTCTATTAAAGTATTTGAAGTTCAGACCAAATCTGATAAAATCAGATGGTTCATTCAGAAGTTACATTAATCCAGTGTATGCCTAAACACTTCACTAAATTTCTTCATATATTCTTAGTCAAACTGTTCCTTATTTTCTGTAACAGATGACTGAGCTGGGGGGGCAAGGCACTGCAAATTCACAAGGGATTGAAAACTGTTTTGGTTTGACTTTTTTGTTAAATTAATCATGCCACAGCACTCGGAGTCCAATGCACTTGCCTCTTATTGCACTAAAAGTGGATCTTTATCCCCTGCATAACACACATATTTTTTACCATGCAGTCATACCTAACTCTGGACTTTATTTCTTTCCATTAAATCAAGCTTTAAAAAAAGACTGCAGTAATATTTATGAGATCTGAAGGAAAGTAGTTATTCAGTTTCAGAATTCCATTGTCGGTATTCACTAGCTGGTGTGATATTTTATGGAGAGGGAATATTTTAAAAGGTCGAGGGGATGCGGAGAAAGAGACTCAAAATCTCTGTGCAGCACAATGAATCCGAGCGCTCGCTCAGGTCTCTCATATTTTGGATGTTTTTTTGATTGCCTTTAAATATCAGTGAAGAGAGCAGCTATGCAGCATGTTGTGGATGAAATGCAGTTATGGTGACCCCACAGGAGGGCACTGCTGCACCATAGTACAGCCCGGATGTCTGACAGTAGAAGAACCAGATTGTCATATCCTATTGTTGCTCTTATGAGGATTTGATGTCATCTGAAATGAGAAAAGGTTACTTTGAAAACAGGAATTTAGGTGTGCCCATCAGTATATTGTATACTGAAGCTTATGTGTCTAGAAGAATAATGTTATGGACTCCATGACACCTGCAGCTCTAAAGATCTCTGCACACAAGACACACCTACACAGATGGACACCCCAGTGAGGATCATATTAAAGCGTGTCTTCGTATACTGTCAGATTTGGTGGATTTGAGGCTTAGAAAGTTGTTTGTTCTGCTCCCGCTGCAGACAAGGTATCTTATGCCCGTCGCTGCCAAAACCTTTGTCTTCGTTGATATCCAATCATTGGCAGTCTTCTAAGTCTTCTCCAATATGAGTTGTCAGGCTGTGTTTGCTTATGTTACACTGGGACACCAAACTCAATTCCGCTGCCTTGTTTGATTTTGCATGATAAGAAGCTGCTGACTGCTCACAGGATAATGTCTTTGACAGACAGCTATGAAGATGAGTAAATAAACTGCATATAGTTGGATGTTATTCTAGAGGTGCAGTATGCATTCTGAGTAACATTATGATCAAACCGCTGTACCACTTCCATGGTCTTGCATGTGATTTTAATACAGCTTGCACCTGTCTCCAGTGATGGAACGTTGGCATGCATGGACCGGCCAGCTGTAGATGAAGTAGACAGTTATTTATTTTCAGACATGGTCTCTTATCCTGGGGAGTGTAAGATTTTTGTTGAGGCAACTATCTTACTTTTACAATGAAACAAAGCTCTTTCTCTCAGAAGTGCAACTCATTTTAAACATATGTTAACTTTGAATGTCAGTGCTGGGACATAAAACGGGCAGAAACGTGTTTCTTGTTTTTACGGGGTGGACGATCCATCTGCATTGGGAATTCGGAATGGGCACAGAAAACAGGAACCTTCTTGAGGTCCTTATTGAAATGTATCAAGCAGCTTCATTGTAAATTAGTTAAATGTTAATGTCAGTATGCTCATATGTTAAAACGTGTTTAATAAGATAAAAGATTTGCTGGGAGCAGTTTGTCTAATCAAATGCATTTTTGACACGTTTGGTAGCTCTAACAACAGTGCAGCTAAGAACGAAAGAGCACATTTTAACCTAATGACATTTGGTCAGAAGCTAACTGCTGAAATTAATCTATTCTAAGAGGGGCATGACTGAGTGTCAAATGTCACTTCTCTAATATTTGTTGATATATTTTACATAAAACATAATTTAAGCAGGATGATCAGCAGTATCATTGCAAGAAATTTGCTAGAGGACCATGAAAGGCTAATTTTAGTTAACAGCCTATTCAAAAACTGACGAGGGTTCGGCCTGGGCCAAATGTTGAGTGACCTTAAAACCAAATGGTGCAGAAGTAAATGAGCATGATAAGATCTGAAGAGGTGAGCAAGATGATTTTTCCTTTGTTATCTGTAGCAATTTGGTATTTTGCAATCTGTTCTGGAGTAGTGTTGATGGAACTCCAGCTATTGGAGAAAATATTCTTAATTCAAGATACCATCAGTAAAAGAAATCCAGATAAATCAAACAAACACACAAACATAATAAACACATTAAAACTTTTTTTAAAAATGCAATGTACTGCAGAAAAAAACCTGCATCCTGGCATGGACATGTATGCCACTTTGACATTGGCTTTCAACTTAATTTGCTGCCCTCTGTCAATGCTCCAGAATCCCTTTCAGCACCTCCTTTCAACACTCATCACCAGGGGGCACAGATACATTCAAAGAACTATTACTAATTAATGAAGTGGTGGATTTTTGATTAAGTGGAATGATTTTATGTGTTACGAGGGGAAGATTGCAGCAATAAACGACCACGGTTTGAAGGGTTTTATGATAGAAAAATACAACAGGCCCACCAGGCATACCCAGAATGCTCATCTTCATATGTGCAGCCAATTAAGACAATAAATTTATCCGAGCCATAACGCCACCCAGACACTTCTATGCTCCTGA